CGTGCGACGCGCGGACGACGCGCGCGTCACGGAGGAAGGCGCGACGCGCGTCCGACGGCTGTGACCGACTCGCGCGCGCGCGCGTCGTCGCGCTCGAGTCCGCGCTCGCGCGCGAGGAGACGTTCATCACTCGTCGAACCTCTCCACGTCGTCGTCATAAAAAATAAATCTAGAATATTCTATTCGTCCCCGTGCTCGGTGACGACGTACGCCGGTTTCGCGCCTCCAAGTTCCCCCCCTCCCAGTTCGGCGTCCTCCGCCTTCATGGCCGTCGGCGAGTCCGCCGCCGCCTCGAGCGCGGCGCGCACCGCCGCCGCTTTCGCTTTCGCGAGATCCCGCGCCGCGTCCCCCGCCGCGCGCGTCGCCCCCGCCCCCGCCCCCGCCCCCGCCCCCGTCGCGTCGGTCCCCGTCGCGCTCGGCCCCGGGAGCATCAACGTCAACACCCGCTCGAGGCGATCGAGCACCTCCGCGAAGAGCGGCCGCTCCGTCGCGAGCTTGCTCGCGCACGCGTGGAATAAATCGCCGATGACCGCGGTCGCGGGGTCGCTCCGCGCCGTCGCCTCCGCGTCCGGGGTCAACGCGAGTCTCCGCTCGCTGTAGCCGACGACGGCGACGACTTGCATCGGGTGGAGCTCGTTCCACGGCGTCTGCGCGGCGAGGAGCTCCCAGAGGACGACGCCGTAGGAGTACACGTCCGCTTTCTCGTCGTAGTTCTCCGCGCGCAGCATCTCCGGGGCCATCCACTCCGGGGTCCCGTGAAACGCGCTGTTCCCCGAGAGCAACGTGTTGGACCGCACGCGCGCGAGGCCAAAGTCCGCGATCTTGACGCGCCACTTGTCGTCGACTAAGATGTTCGGCGACTTCAAGTCCAGGTGCAGAATAGGCGGCGAGCGCGAGTGGAGGTAGTGCATCCCTCGCGCGACGGACAGCGCGCAGTGGTGCATCCGCGGGCCGTCGAGCGGGCCCTTGTTTTTCCGTAAGATGTTGTGCAGCGACCCTCTCTTCATGAACTCCGTCGCGATCAACGGCGGCTCCGGGCACCAGCCCATGAACAGCAGTAGGTTCGGGTGCCTCAAACGCGAGAGGACGTGGACTTCTTCTCGTAAGCGCGCGACGACGTCCGGGCCTCGTTGCAGGAGCTGTTTCACGGCGACCGTGGTGCCGTTCCAAGTCCCGCGGAACACCTCCGCGAACCCGCCGACGGCGAGCCTCTCGCGCAGCCTGAGCTCGCTCGGCCGCACCTCCCACTCCCTGACGGCGTTATCCAGCGCGACGTCCTTCGCGGACACGAGCGCGTTCGCTTCCGCCTCTTCCTCTTTCGCCGCGCCCAAGGACACCGTGGGTTCGATGTCCGGCAGCTCCATATACCCCCCGCGCGCTCCGCCGCCGCTCTCTCCGCCGCCTTTCCCGCCGACGTAATCATCCGGCGACGCGATCCCAAACCGTCCGCTGCTCCCCGGGACCATCCCGTTGGACCCCCCCACGGCGACGACCGCGCCCTCGCCGAGGACGCCGCCGCCGTCGCCCTCCGCGGGCGGCAACGCCCGCGTCCCTCGTCGCGCGTCGTTCGCGTTCGCGAAGCTGCTGATGGGCTGCGAGAAGTGCGCGCGAAACGACGTCGTCATCGTCACGTCCACGGTCGTGTCGTCAACTTGGGAGACGTTCATTAACGGCCTGCGGACGCCGCTTATGTGGTCTGGTTTCACCGGCATCGCGTCCACGGTGCGTCGGAGCCACGCGTCCATCTGCGCGTCTAAGGCGTCCGCGCCGACGTCGTCTTCGCCCACGACGCCCGCGATCCCGGTCCCGGTCCGTCCCTCGCGAGGGGGCCTCGGTTTCTTCGTCGTCTCGTGCGGCGTCCACGCGTCGCCGTCGCCGTCGCGTCTGCCGCCGCCGCCGTGGATCACGATCATTCCGTCGTCGTCCTCGTCTACCGAACCGGAATATCGCTTTCCCGACGAGGGGTCGCCTCCGCCCGCGCCGGATCTCGCGTCCGCGGACCGCGACGTCGACGGCTCGTCGACCCACCAATCGACGCCGTCGCGGTCGCGGTCGTGCCCGGACGCCGGGGACCGGTCGCCGTCGCGTCTACTCCCCAAGCGCCGGAGCTCGTCGCTGAGCGTGAGGCGCTTTCCCATGTCGAGCCCGTGCGGCGACGACGCGACGCCGACGACGTTTCCGGAGCTCGCGCCGTCGCCGCCGCTCGGGAGCGCATCGGGTCCGTCCGGCGCGCGCTCGACGAACCGCGGCTCCGGCGGCGGCGGGCTGTCGTCCAGCTCCTCGAGGTCCGGCATGATCCTACGCGCCGGCGCCGCGTGGAGCGGCGTCGACGCGCGGGCGACGAGTGCGGCGACGCGACGGGTGGGCTGTTTCGAGAAACTTCGACGACGGACATGTCATGACGAAAAAAACGCGACTTCGCCTAAGCAGAGGGTATCGTCCTCCATCACTTCCCGCCGAGCTTCCCCTTGACGGCGTCGATGAACCCCCCGATGAGCGCGCCGCCGCCCCCGCCCGCGGGCGCGCCGCCGCTCTTCCTCTGCTGGTTCGTCGTCCCCCTCGACAGCGCGTCCATGACCCCTTCCAACACCCCCCGCGGCTCGAACCGCGCCATGATCCCTTCGAACCGGTCATCCGCGCGCAGCGACGCGATGTCGTCGTCGCCGCGTACGTTCGCGTAGTCGTCGTACCCCGCCTCCATGCTCCGCACGAGCGACACCAGACCGCTCTGGACGTCGCCGAGCTTCGCGTAGCAGCACGCGCAGTTGTAGTGGATCGCGATCTGCTCGTTCAGGCTCACGTCCGCGTCTTCGAACCCGAGCGACGGCCCCGCGGGTTTCACCATCGCCCTCCGTCGACGAATCGGTCCCGAGCCCGGGAGGTCGAGCGCGGACGTGAACGTCGCGAGCGCTTCCTCGACGTTCCCCTCTTTGTACTGCGCGAGGCCTTTGTCGATCGCCGCCGCGGCCGTCTCGGGAGCGAGCGTGAACTCCGGCGCGGGCGCGGCCTCGAGCTCGCCGCTGTCGGCGGCGGCGCCGGCGGAGGACACGACGACGCCTTCGCCGTCGAGCATCACCGGGACTGTCGCGCCGTCCGCGCCGAGCAGCGTCGCGAGCTGCGCGTCGTCGAGCTGCATCAGGTCGTCCACGGGCGCGCCCATGTCCGTGAACCCCATCTCGCCGTCGCCGCCAGCGGACGCGTTCCACGTCATCGGATCGTTCGGGTCGAACCCCGGGTTGTCCCTCGCGCTCGCGCGCGCGCGCGCGCGCGCGCTGGCGTTGTTTGAGGCGGCGGATCTGGCGGACGCGACGGGCCTTTTGGTCGTCGTCGTCGCGCGAGCGGCGCCCGCCCGCGCGGCGACGGACGCGGACGACGCGTGCATGGCGAACATGCTCGTGCGAGCGCGAGGAGGGTTCGTCTGCGAGCGCGCGCGGTCGTCGCGCCTCGGGGAGTGCGGCGAGGACGCTCGGCTCGATTCGACGAGATATCCACACGGGAGCATCTGAGCGATCACGGCAGTCTGGTTCTGTGCGTGATGCGTTTTTTCGTGAGCGGACGCGAAGAGAGCACGATGATCATCAAAGAATGTATATCATGCGTACAAAATAATGCGATGTCTACGTGTGGCAATGCAATGCAAACAAACGGCCGACTTCCCCGGCCCGGGGCCGCCGCCGTCGTGAAGTGTTCGTGTCCCGTGTGTTCTAATACCCACCGTACCTGTCGCCGCCGCCGCCGCGGCCGGACGAGTACGATCCGCCGCCGCCGCCGCCGCCGCGATACCCGCCGCTGTCCCCTCCACGAGAGTAGGAGGATCCCCCTCTGTCCCCGCCGCCGCCGCTGTAGCTCGGTCGGCGATCGGAGTAACCGCCGCCGCCGCCGCCGCCACCGCGCTCTTGCCAGCCGCCGCCGCCGCCGCCGCCGCCGCCGCCGCGCTGGAAGCTCCCGTCGGCGCCGCGCTGGAACCTGCCGCCGCCGCCGCGGCGATCGAAGCCGCCGCGACCGCCGCGACCGCCGCGACCGCCACCTCTCCCGCCACCTCTTCCGCGGCCACCGAATCCGCCTCTCCCGCCGCCGCCGCCGCCGAAGCGATCCCTCTCTTCGACGAGCTCCGGAAGCGACGCGCACACGGAGAGCTCCATCCCCTCGAGCTCCTCCGCCGATGCGATGACGTCGTTCACGATCGTGTGATTCATGTCGAAGCACAGCCCGCTGTTATCGGCCAAGATGCGGATGCGCCCGACGCCGTCCGCGGCGGCGCGGTTCACCATCGAGAGCGCGCGGAGCAAATCCCGCGGGAGAAGCATGTGCCCCTTCGCGACCATCGTCGTGAGGCCGACGTCGGACGTCAGCAACGAGCGCGGCGGCGGCGGTTCCGTGTGCCCGGACAGCGCCGCGAGCGCGGCCGCGAGCGTCTCCGCCTCGGACCGCCCGTTCCCGCCCGCGGCCCTGACTTCCTCAAGGATCGCCTCCGCGGTCGGGGTGAAGTACGGAAGGAGCTCGTCGTCCACGAGCGACATCTCGTGCTTCGCCTGCACCGCGGACGACGTCATCACCTCCGCGGGCGTCGGCGCGTTGATCGATTTGAACGTCACCCCAGTCTCGCGCACGATCGTCCGGAGGCGGTAGTTCTCCCGCGGGGTGAACATCGCGATCGCGGTCCCGCGCTTGTTCGCGCGGCCGGTGCGTCCGCAGCGGTGCACGAAAGACTCCGTGTCGTTCGGGAGCTCGAAGTGCACGACGAGGTCGACGTCGGTGATGTCTAAACCGCGCGCGGCGACGTCGGTGGCGACGAGGACGCTGAAACGGTTGTCACGGAACCGTTTCAACGTCCTCTCGCGCTGCGCCTGCGCGATGTCCCCGTGAAGCACCTCCGTGGCCATGCGACGACCGAGCGCGGCGGTGACCTCGTCTGCCTCGCGCTTCGTCTGCGTGAAGCAAATCGCCTTCGCGCCTTTGCCGTACACGGTGACCAAGTCCGCGAGAATCATGGTCCTGCTCTGGTGCGAGCACGCGCAAGACAAGATATCGATCGTGTCTGCAACCTTCTGCTTGCTGTCCCCCACGAGGTCGATGTTGACGTGCTCTTTGAGGTACTTCCGCGTGAGTTGCTTCACCCACGACGGCATCGTCGCGGAGAACAAAAACGTCTGCCGCTCTTCCGGGATCTCTTGCATGATCCGCTCCACGTCCTCCTCGAACCCGACCGCGAGCATCTGGTCCGCCTCGTCCAGGACGCAGTACTCGATGTCCTGGAGCTGAAGCGACCCGCGCTGGATGAGGTCGATCAGACGCCCGGGGGTGCCGACGACAAAGTCGACCCCGTTCCGAAGCGCGCGTTCTTGATTCGTGATCGCGACGCCTCCGTAGACGCACACCGTCCTCATCGACGGCACCGTGAGCTGAATCTCCGCCTCGACCTGGTTCGCGAGCTCGCGCGTGGGCGCGAGCACGATGCACCGCGGGCGGCGGTTCCGCGCGTCCGACGGGTTCGAGAGCAAGGACTCGATGATCGGAAGCGAGAACCCGAGCGTCTTTCCCGTGCCGGTCCTCGCCCTGCCGACGATGTCGCGGCCCTCGAGCGCGGGCGCGAGCACCGCGCTCTGGATCGGGAAGAGGGACTCGATCCCGCGCTTCCGAAGCGCCGCTTTGGTTAACACGGAGATGGGGAAGTTGTCGATGTGGTTCGGGTCCGAGTTTTTCGCCGCCGCGGGCTCGTCTTCGTCGTCGTCGTCGTAATCTTCTTCGTCGTCTTCGTCGTCGTCGTCGAAGAGTTCGTCCACGTCCGCGGCGAGGGCGTCCGCGCCGGTGAAGAGCGCGTCGACTTTGCTCAGCAACGGGTCGAGTTCTTCGTCTTCCATCTCCGCGGTCGTGGACTCCGCGGAGTACACGCGGAGGGCGAAGTCGCGCGGCGCGCGGAAAGTCGCGCGAGGCGCGAGCGTCGCCGCCGCCGCCGGAAGCGGGCGCATTCCCCCGAAGCGTTCGGCGCGCGCGAACGCGGACGTCGCCTTGACGACCGGGGTGGCGCGAGACGCGCGGAACGTCGACGCGTTCCTGTGCGTGTTCATCGCGCTGGAGTTAATGACTCCGCGACTCATGGCGGAAAGGAGGCCCATGACGCGTCTCGTCGTGGTCGTAATGGTCGAAGCGGTGCTCGGTTCCGACGATTGGAACGAGTAAAGTGCGCTTTTGTCTTATCCGCGGCGTGCGAGACGCGTTATGCGGTGAGACGGAGAGCGCGAGGTGTGAGCTTGCGCGCGCGTTATAACACGACGTATATGAGCGTCGGGTTCAGGTTTTTCCTTGAGCGAGCGCGTCGGCGACGGGGCCGCGCGAGTGAGTGTGACGTAATCGCTCGCCCTCTCGTGCCGAAAAAGCGACGCGGCGCCGCCACGAATTCGCAAAACGTAAACGCGTCATCGGCCGTCCGTTCTATCGGTGAAATCGACCCTGGACATCGATGAACAAAAAAGGACATTTTCGGGTCCCGTCCGATCAAGTTTTCGGGTTCAAAGTTTCGGTGCCGATTTCCGGGATTCCGGCCGTTGCGCAGAGAACTGGCTGTCGTAGCTCAGAGAGCGACACATCGAACACGCGCGGCCGCGTCTCCTCGCGACGGGAGCGGACCGCAGACGCGTGGAACGTATCGTCGCGTCGATCTCGGCTCCCTCGACACGACCGGATACGCCGTCGCTCGGGGAAGGGGCATCGAGCGACGACGACGAGCGCGGGGCGGAAAACGAGCATCGCAGCGCGCGTCCCCCCCGTAACTAGTCTAACGCATTCCCTCCCGCGCTCCCGCGCGACCGTCGTCGACGATGAGCGGCCTCGCGGATAAGCCCATCACCGCGGTGTACCGCAGCGCGGCCATGTCACTCCGCAAGGCGAATCTCGCGAGGGAGTCCGGGGACACCGACGAGGAGGTCTTCCAGCTCAACGCGTTCGTGACCGCGGTGACTTCGGGCGTGAGAGCGCATCCGATGTACGAGCGACGGAAGACCGATAAGGACTGCGTCGACCTGGAGAACAAACTCATCGACGCGGTGACGCGGCTGAGCGACATCGAGAGCGACGAGGAGAAGAAAGCGGAGGAGAGGGAGGTGAAAGCCGCGGCGAGGCGGCTGGAGCAGGAGACGGCGCGAACGCCCCGGGAGGAGGAGAGCGACGACGCCGAGGCGGGCCCGGCGCGGCGGAGGGAGCCCTCGGGCGGGGCCTTGCTCGCGCGCTCGCGGGCGAACTCCAGGGCGAACTCCAGGGCGAACTCCAGAGCGACGAGCCCGACGCGAACCGCGACGGCGGCGACGTCCACGGCGACGAGCGAACCGCCGCCGCCGCCGCCGCCGCCGTCGGTTCCTTCCGAGATCGCCCCCGCCTCGGACGAAGCCCCCCGCGACGCGTTCTGGCGCCCGGCGGGGACCACCACCGACGCGAGCGCGGCATCGGGTACATCGACCGACGTCACCACGGAGGTGGGCAAACTGAGGGAACACATCACGAGCACGACGGAACGTTCGCTCGACGACGTCGACATGACGCTGTCCCCGGAGCCGGCGCCGTTCGCCGCGCCGTTCGCGCCGCCGCCGCTCGGGGACCTCACCCCGACCGCGCCCGCGATCGTCTTCCCTCCGTTCCCGTCCACGGACCTCATGATGGGCGGCGTGGAGAGCGGAGACGCGAGCGCGGGGGCGGGAGGAAGCGCGGGGCTGCCCCCGACGCCCCCGCCCGCGGAGACCTCCGCGGCGATCGCCTCCGCGGCTTTGTTCCGCGCCAGGTTCGACGCGAAGGAGGCGAAGGCCAGGGCGGTCGCCGAGCGCGCGTCCGCGTCTGCGGCGGCGAAAGCGGTGTATAAAGGGTTCGACGCTCCGACGGAGTCGTCGCTGAAGAAGGTTCAGAGCCCGGTCAAGAAGCCCGCGGCGAAGCCGGCGTCGACGAAGACGGCGTATTACGGCGTCCCGGCGAGGAGCCTCGCGCCGTCGAAAGCGTCGCCGCTGCCGCCGGCCGCGCCCGCGCTGACGAACCCGCCGCGCGCGAGACTCCCGACGCCGCCCGAACCGCTCGGCGGGGGCGCCGCCGCCGCCGCCGCCGCCGCAGCGGTCGGGTCTCAGTCGTCCCCCGCGGCGGCGCCGCCGACTGCCGCCGCCGCGGCGTCGCCGTCCCCGGCTGCGTCGGGCCCGTCGACGTCGAACGCGTCGGTCGATCCCGGCGGTCCGGGCCTCGCGACGATGCGAGGCGCGCAGGCCGCGGCCGTCGCCGCCGCGGAAGCCGCCGCGCAGGCTGTCGGCGAACGCGTCGCGAGAGATATCCAAGCCGTCGCGGAACGGCAGTCGCGCGCGGAGCGTCACGCCGCCGCGGAGATGGACGCGCTCGTGACGCAAGTCTTACCCCTGCACGAGGAGAACAGCGCGCTCCGGGCGACAATCGAGGCGCTCGCGGCGCGCGTGGAAGCGATGGAGTCCAGCTCCAGCTCCGGGGCGGCGGACGCTGCCGCGAACGCGGCGACCGCCGCCGCGGTGGCCGCCGCCGTCGGCGCCGAGGTGGACGTCCTTCGCGCGCAGACGTCGCGGCAGATGAAAGCGTCGCAAGAGTGGACGACGCAGGCGATCGTGCATCAGGGGCAGCAGCAGTGGGAGCACGTGCAGAAGATGCTGACGCAGAGGGACAAGGCTGAGCACGAGCGCGTGACGCACTTACAGCGGCTGCTGGACGACGCGCACCGCGGGCGGGTGGACATCGAGAGGAAAGCGGAGGAACGCCGTCGTCGGCGAGAAGCCTCGGACGCGGCGACGCGACAGCGCGTCGAAGAAGCGCACAGAGCGGTCGCGGACATCAAAGAGGAGATGAAAAGACAAGCGGAGCACCAGCAAGCGCAAGCGTTGCAGATGCATCGAGCCGCGGAGGAGTCCGTGCGGTTCCAACAGCAGCAACAAGAGGCGGCGTGGGAGGCGCATCGGGAGGCGATGGAGCAGCAACGCCGCGCGCAATCGGAACGTCTCAAAGCGGAGTCCGCGCAGCTCGCGGCGGCGACCGCGAGCGGGAACAGCGGCGCCGCGTTCGCGGGGCAGTTGAACTCGATCCTACAGCGCTTATCGCAGCTCGAGTCCACGCCGTTGCCGCCGCCGCCGTCGTCGCCGTCTCGGTTCGGAGGCGTCGTCGAGGGCCTCGTCACCGCGCGGATGTCCGAACTCGAGCGCAGGGTATCCGAGCTCGGGGTGTCCTCGTCCGGGGTATCGTCCGGGTCTGTCGTGAACCTCAGGTTTCTCGAAGATCGCGTCGCGGCGCTGGAGAGCGGACGCGGGAACCGAGGGTACGGCGCGGAGTACGCCGCGACGCGGCTCGTCGGCGACGCCGGCGCGAACGACGGCGCGGACCTCGACGCGGTTCGACGAAAAGTCGCGAACATCGAATCCAGAGTGGAGATGGAATACGACACCGCGCGGGATTTCAAGGATCGACTCGCGCGACTCGAGTCCAGGTCCAGATCCGCCGCCGCCGCCGCCGCCGCGTCGTCCGAGAACGACGACGTGCACGAGTTACGGGTGAAACTCGCGACGTTTGAGGCGAGAATCGCGCGGGCGGAGGAAGCCGCCGCGGGCGCGTCCTCGACGTCGCCGTCCACGAAGAAAGCGGTGCCGATGTTAAAATCGAAGATGAAGGATATGGAACTCGACATCGCCGCGAGGCTCGCGGACGTGGAAGGGCAGATCGCGACGCTCGCGGCGAACGCGGTGGAAAACGCCGCCGCCGTCGCCGCGGCGCCGGAGCCGATCACGACGAGCCGTCAGCATAAACTCCGCGAGCTCGCGACTTCGGCGGCGAACGACGTCGTCGCGGAGGTGCGATCGCAGGTCGAGGCGCTCGAGGAGAGCGTGAAGAAGTGCGCGCTGAGCGCCAGCGGGGCGTCGGAAGACTCCGCCGTCGCGGCGCTGCGGCGCCGCGTCGGGGAAATTTCAGGTGCGTTCTATACAAAATTGTTTCACCCATCGCTCGGTTTCAACATTTGATCGCGTCCGTTTTCAACTGACCGATGAACTTGTTTTGTATGGAATGGCCCTCAGCCGCGGAAGAGCGAGACATCGCCGCCGTCGCGGAAGACGTCACCGCGTCCGCGGAGCTGAATCGGCTGCTTCACGCGCGCGTGAGCGAGCTCGAGGACGTGCAGCAAGGCGCGGCCGCGGCGGCGATCGCGCGGGCGGAGGCGCACGAGAGCGAAGCGAAGCGTCTAACGGACGCGCTCGCCGAGGCGACGACGCGGTTGCGCGCGCTCGAGGCGAACCACGAGACCGCGAGCGAGCTCTCGATGACGATGGCCGGTCGCGTGCACGAGCTCAAGACCGCGATGGACGCCATCAAGGCGGACGCCGCGGAGGCTGCGCGAGCGGCGATGAGCGCGGTGAACGGGAAGGTTGAAGCGATGGAGATGACCACCGCGCGGGTCGAAACCGAGATGACGCGTTTACGCGAGTTTGACGACAAGGTGGAGCGCGCGAGCGCGCTCTCCGCGCGCGTCGCCGAGGTCGAGTCCGAGCTCGTGATACAGAAGCGACGCGCGATGGAGGTCGCGGACATGGAAGGACGAGTGAGGGAGCTTCAAACGCGGGCGGAGGACGCGGCGCGCGCGCGGAACGGTTTGAAAGAAGCCATCGAGACGCTCGAGACTGATCAAAAGGAGCGCTTCGAGCGCATCATCGACGTTCAAACGTCCGTGGTGCAGAATCAAGCCGCCGCCGGGGCGGTCATCACCGCTGGGATGGAGCAACTCGTTCGCCGCGTCTCCGAGCTCGACGAAAAAAAGGCGACTTCCGCGGATGTCGACACCCTGAACGAGCGCGTGTGCGATCTCGAAAAGGTCGTCCTGTACAAGAGCCCGGACGAAGAGAAAGAGGACGAGGCGCGGGAGAAGGAGACGGCGACGATCGCCGCCGCGGTCGCCGCGACGTCGGACGCCGCGGCGAAGGACCAACTCCAAGGTCGACTCGACGAGCTCGAGCGCAAGGAACGAAAGTCGTCGATGCGTTCCGTCGTCGGGAGGTGGCAGAAGGGCGGCAGCGGCGCCGTGTCGCTGCTGAAGGACACGAAAGCGGCGAACGCGGCCGCTGAAGCCGCGGCCGAGGCGGCGGAGAAGGCGCGCGCGTCCATCGAAGCCCTCGCCTCGCGAGTCGCGGAGGTCGAGAAAAAACAGGACCACTTTGAGGACGAGAAAGCGGCCGCGGCGTTCCGCGCGGCGACGTCCGAGAGCGACGCGGACACCGCGGCGAGCAACGCGGAGCAAGCGGCGGCGGCCGCGGTCCACGCGGCCGCCTCCGCGGCGGGAGCGACGGAGAGCCTCGCGTCAGAGCTCGCGAAGTTGCGAAACCAAATTCTCGCGTTGGAGGGGCAGCGCGGCCCCGAAGCGCGCGACGCCTCTCGCGGCGCGAGGACGCCCGCGGGGTCGCACCCCGCGGCGTTACCCCCGACGCCGACCACCGTGGACATCGAGAGGATCGCGAACGAATCGGAGTACCACGTCTCGTCGCCGCAGTCCCCACCCGTCCGCGGCGGCGGTCGCGCCCCGGTCGGGGTCGGGCGGACGAACTTCTCCGGGGTCACGTCCGAGGAGGCTGCGGCGGCGGCGGCGGAGCTCGTCATCGCGGACGAGCTCGACGACATCGAGGGACGATCCGATCCCATCGCGAACGCGCGCCGCGCCGCGATGGAGGCGCGCAGGGCGGTCAACGACGAAGCCGCGAAACTCGGGATTCACCTCGACGAAGACACCGGGAAGCTCGCGGACGGGGAAGGGCTGCCGATGCACCCGGCTGCGCTCGCCGCCGCCGCGGACCGGCAGCTCGCCGCGGAGCTCGCGACGGTGTGCGCGCTCGTGGACAAGGAGGAGTCGCGAAGAGCGGAGCTGAAGGCGAAGGCGACGGGGCCTCAAGGCGTGCAGAGCGTTCTCGAAGCGACGCTCCGGCCGTCGAGTAAAAAGAGCGCGGGCGAGAAAGCGGTCGCGGATCTCCAGGCTGCGCAGAAACGCTGGGAGATCGCGATGGACGTCCAGCTGTCGCGGCTTCGCGAGGCGGCGCACGAGGCGGAGGAGAGGAACGCGGTCGCCGCGGCGATGTCGGGGAGAGCGGTGGCGAAGAACACCACGGAGCTCTTCAAACGCGCGGGCGCGGTTCTGTCCAAGCACGACGCCAGGAAAGGCGGCGAATCCGCGTTGCATAACCCGTGGGGCGCGGGTCCGGGGCTGAAACCGAAGGCGCACGTCCCGACGCCGACGCCGAGGCGGCCGCTGTCGAACCGCGACCGGAACGAGCCGGCGCGGGGCATCTCCGTGGAGACCGCGGCGGAGCTCAAGTCGATCAAGAGCATGGTTCGAACCGTGCACGTCGAGATCGGCGGGCTCGCGCACAGGCTCGACAAGGTCGACGAGCGCGCGACCGGGGCTGGGAAAGCGGAGGCGGACGTCATGAAAGCCCGACTCGAGGAGCTGCGCGGCGACGTCAAAAGTTTACGCAAAGCCGCGGACGTCGCCGACCGCGCGCTGTCCCTCGCGTCCGACGCCGAAGCGGGCGCGGCCGCGGCGTACGCGCACGCGCAGGAAGTCGGCGCGTCGCTCAGCGCGCAGAGAAGCGATCACGCGCGCCTTCGCGAACGCGTAGACGCGCTCGCGCACGGCGCGGACGCGGGCATTCGAGCCGTGGACGGTAAAGTCGAGAGAGTAAAAGCCGCCGCGCGAGGCGCCAAGGCGACCGCGCGGATGGCCGAGGCGAGGTGCGTCTCGCTCGCCGGCGAGCTCGGGCGCGTCGCACGGCACGTCGGGATGGACGGCGTCGGGGAAGCGCTGAGGACCGGCGTGCTGTTCGCGCCGCCGCCGCAGCCGCCGCCGCCGCCGGGTCTGCCGCCGACGTATCAGCCGCCGCCGCCGTCGGCGCGAGCGAGGAGGGGGGGGCGACCGGGCGACGCCGCGGACGACGACGACGAAAACCTGTTCGAGATACCGGTGGCGGGCGACGCGAACGGGGGGATGAGCTTGGAGCAGCTCGCGGAGTTATAGTACTAGACACGTGTGATAGAGACTCCGACGAACGGCGACGCGAAATCTCGAAGCGTCGCGACGACGAACACACGAGCAGAGAGAATTTTTTTCTTCAGTAGTCGCGCATCTCGTCCACCAACGTCTCTCGTCGTCGCTCGACGCAGAACGACGGGCGCGCGTGCGGCGAGGCACGGCGACCGGGGGTCATGTCTCGCGGCGGCGGGGACGAGCTGCAGGCGCTGGTGAACTACTACGCCCGCGGTGGGTACTCGCGGCACGTGCAGACCGCGTGCGCGGGCGGGGGCGACGTCGCGCGGTTCTGGAGCGCGTTCTCGCTCATCGCGCAGGGGAGCCACTCCGAGGCGATCGGACAGCTGGAGTCCCTCATGCGGTGCGTCGCGAGTCTCGCGCACCTTCGTCGTCGTCGTCGTCGTCTGCACGTCCCGATCCGCGAGAAGAAAGAAGTCGACTCGCGTCTCTCCCTCCCTCTCGTTCCCGCGACGTCCTCCCCGCCGTCGTCGTCCGCGTCGTTCCGGCACCGCGCCGCGTTGTTGACTTCTCATCCCCCTCGCCCCCGTCGCGTCCGCCCGTCCATCCACAGCGACCGCGAGCTCGAGCTCGCGTGCATGGCCGCGTGCGTCCACGCGCACAAACAAGCGCGCGTCGTGGACGAGGAGTCCGTGGAGCACCTCGAGAACAGGATCGCGCGAGAGGAAGCGCACGCGTCGCCGAGATCGTTGCTCCTGTGCGCGACGTTTTACTCCCTCGCGCCGTCCTCCGCGGAGTCCTGGCGCGGGAAAGAGCTCGCGGAGCGCGCGTTAGAGACCGAGCCGGGTTTCTTAGAGGCGAAGTCGTTGCTCGCGTGGATCGAGCTCACCGGCGCGGGCGGCGCGGCCCAGGAGGACGAGTGGGACGAGGACCTCGGCCCCGGAACCCCCGGGGGCCCCGCCGCGAAGACGGATCGCGTCCGCGTCCGACTCGACGCCGCCAAGCGCATGTTCGACGAAGTTCTCGACGCCCCCGGGGGAGACACCCAGCTCGACGCGCTCATGGGGCGAGTGAAGGTGTTAGAGGCGTCCTATCAAACCCAAGGCGCGATGGACGTGTTGAACCACGTCATCGCGCGGTTCCCGAACTTTGTCCCGGCCAAGGCGGAGAAGGCCAAGACGCGGATGGCCGCCGGGGATTGGGACGCCGCGATGGACACCGCGGGGGAGATCTTGGACTCCGCGGAGGGAAGGGAGGACATCACCGCGTTGAGGGTGCGCGCGTTTCACGCGCTGTCGATGGAAGGCGCGGGGGAGGCGGCGAAGAGAGCGGTGCGGGACGTTTTGGGCGCCGTCGACGCGAGGGAGCCGAGGAACGCCGGGCTGTACTTGGACTGCGCGAGGGATTTCGCGCGCGTCTCCGGGGGGAACGAGTCGATACTGTCCTCGTGCGCTTTAATGCTCGAGCGCGCGGAGAAGATCGCGCCGGATCGCGTAGACGTCGTGAAAGAAGCCGCGTACCAGCAGCAGTTACTCAGGGAGTACAAGGCTGCGATCGCGGGGTATCGACGCGCAGCGCAAATCGACGAACGCGACGGCGCGTTGGACGACTTTACATCTCTGTACGGAACGATCTGGTGCCAGCTCCTTGACGATCAAATAACCGACGCGGAGCAGGAGTTAGAATTTCTGAACGACGTCACGACCGAACGGAACGTGAAGCTCGTGTTCCTCACCGCGCTGCACGCGTCGAAAGTCCCGGGCGCGGACATCGAGACGCCGTTGACGGAGCTGGAACGACTTCTCACGTCGCACCTCGCGGCGTCGCGGTCGCGGACGTTCGGGTTCGACTACTTCGTCGCCATGGACCCGGACTTGTTGACCCAGTGCGCGGAACTGTTCCTCTCGCGCGAGAGCGGCGAACCGAGAGGGAAGAACGCCCCGATGTCACCGGGCGTCGAGAAGGCGTTGTCGTTGCTCGAAGCCGTGTGCGCGCGCGCGCCCGGGCTCGCGTCGGCGCGGCTGCTTCTCATGCGGACGAGGTACATCGCCGGGCACCACGACGCGGCGGCTCGGACCGCGAACGCGCTCATACAGTCTCAAACCGACGGCGTCGCGGACGCGCACATCGTGCTCTCGCAGATTGCGCTCACGAACGGGGATCACGTGAACGCGCAGAGCGAGCTCGACGAAGCCGTCGCGTCGAATTTCGCGATTCGCGACTCGCCGATGTACGCGATCATCTCCGCGCAGTGCATGGTGCTGAACGAGGACTACGAGGGCGGGTTGAAGGAGATCAAAGCCGCGATGAAGCTCCCGGGCGTGAAGAAAGCGATGACCGAAGCGGAGAAGGAGCGCGCGCGGCGGAAGAACGCGATACCCGTCAGCACGCGCGACCGAGCGTCCGTGTACATGATGCACGCGGAGGTTTTGACGAAACTCGACCGCGCGAGCGAGGCGGAGGAAGTCGTCAACGCGGCGTCGGTGGAGTTTAAAGGGACGACGGAGGAAGTCCGCGTCATGATCGCGCAGTGCGAGCTCGCGATGAGCAAAGGGGAGTCGAACGATGCGCTGAAGATGCTCGAGCAAGTGTCCGAGGACTCGCCGCATTTCGCAAAGGCGAAAATCGCGCTCGCGAAGATTCACCTCGAGAAGAGGAACGATGAGGAGGCGTACATGCGGTGCTACGAGGACGTCTCTCGCGTCGTCGGCGACGCGAAGTCTTTAGTCGCGCTCGCGGACGCGTACATGCGGTGTGGGGAAGCGCACATGGCCGTGGGGGTGTACGAGAAAGCCGCGGCGATGAACCCCGGGGACGTCGCGCTCGCGGTGAAAATAGGAAGAGCGCTCGTTGAAGGGCATCACTTCAAAAAAGCGATGGACTACTACGAGGGCTTCCGCGCGTCGCACCCTGGCGAGACCGAGTTGCAGATGGATCTCGCGCAGCTGTATATCCAGCTCGGTAGGGTAGACCCGATATACTGGCCGCGCGCCGAGGCTGTGTTGCAGCAGTTGTTGGACACGTTTACGGACGCGCGCGATCCGGCTTCGCTGGAGAGCGGCGTCGAGTGCACGCGGATGCTCGCGACCGTGCACCTCGGGGAGGGGAATAGAGCCGGGTATCTGGACGCGCTGACGGAGGCGAAAGAGCTGCTCAGCACGCTCGTGACGCGAAGCAAGAGCGACGTCGAGGCGTCGCATAAGCACCGAACAGCGCTCGCGGGGGTGTGCCGGGAAATCGGGGAGATTTACACGAAGTCGCACGACACGGAGAACGCGTCGTCGTTTTACCACGAAGCTCTGAAGCACAACCCGGAGGACATCAGCGCGATGAAAGCGCTCGCGCAGATGCTCCTGAACGTCGGCGACGTCGGAGGGTGCGAGCGCATGTGCGCGGACATCTTGCGCGCGGACGCGGACGACGAAGAAGCGAACATGATGCTCGCGGAGTTGATGTTCCAACGCGAGGATATCGAGGGGGCGATGTATCACTTCTCGCAGATACTCGACAAGAACCCGGGGAATTACATCGCGATGGCGCAGCTCGTGCAGTTGTTGCGACGAAGCGGACGACTCGACGAGTGCGAGGCGTTCTTTGCGGAGGCGGAGACCGCGGCGATCGACTCGTCGAAAGACGAGGGGCTTTTCTTTTGCAGAGGCCTCGCGCAGAGGTATAAAAACAACCCGAGGGAGGCGCTCGTGCAGCTGAACAAATGCCGCGGCTCGCACGAGTGGGGCCCGTACGCGGTGTACACAATGGTGGACATTTACCTCTCCCCCGAGAACGAAGACGTGTGGGACGAAGAAGGGAACGTCACCGAGGAAGAGGGGACGCAGCACGAAAACACGGATAACGTTCGAGCGGCGAACGATTTACTCGCGGAGATTCGCCCGGTGTCGCGGCAGCACCCGCGTCACGAAGTTCTAGAAGCGTACGCGCTGATGGGGACGCGGAACAAGCCCGCGATCAATCGCGCGATCGGCATACTCACCGAGGTTGTGAACAAAGATCACGATAACGTCCCCGCGCTTCTCGCGATGTCGAGCTGCTTCCTGATGTTGAAACAAACCCCGAAGGCGCGGAACCAGCTGAAGCGAATCGCGAAGCTGCCGTTCAACTCCGGGGAGGCGGACGAGTTCGAACGAAGCTGGCTCCTGTTCGCGGAGATCAACATGAAGGACAAAAAACGGTTCGAGGAAGCGAGGGAGCTATGCAGGAAAGCGTTGAAGTACAACATCGCGTGCGCGAGGGCGTGGGAGCTCTTAGGACAGATGGCGGAGATGGAGACGAACGTCGAAGAAGCCGCGCGGTCGTACGAATCGAGCTGGCGATTCTCGTTCGAGAGCAACCCCGCGGTGGGGTACCGCCTCGCGAAAAACTACCTGAAGATGAAAATGTTCGTGCACTCGATCGACGTGTGCAAGAAGGTTATCAAGGATCACCCGGACTTCCCGAAGATTCGGCAGAAGATCTTGAACAAGGCGAGGATTAGCATCAAGCCGTGAGTGATTGTAATTCGTCACAAAAAAACTTTAGTCGAGCTCGTCGTCTAGCGAGGACCCAGCGAGGGAGGGCCTGAGGAACATCGTCGCGGCCTTTGGCGCGGGCGGCGGTGCCGCCGGTTCCGTCGTCGTCGCCGCCGCAGCCGCCTCCGCCGCGGGCGCCTCCTTCTCCGCCGTGACGATTTGTTTCGTCTCCGCCTCAGCCGCCGCCTCCGCCGGTTTCGGTTTCGGCGGGTCCCGCTTCGCGTGCATCTCCCGCCATCGCCGTTGGTTCTCCGTCTCCCCCCTGGACTCAAACTCCTTCGCGGCTTGCACCGCGGCCGCCGCGGACGCGGCCGCTTTCGCTTCCGCGGCGTCCACCATCACGTACCCCGTCTCGTCGCTCTCATCCTCCTTCGCGGAGCTGGACGGGGCGTCGATCTCGGTCACGAGCCCGCTCGTCGCCGGCGCCGGCGCGGTCGTGGTCTCCGCGGCTGCCGCCGCCTCCGGCGTCGGCTCCGTGGACCTCCCGATCGGCTCCATCTTCATCGGCTTCACCGGCAGCGTCACCTCCAACCGCCTCGCGTTCTTATCGAACTTCGCCTTTCCGTCGTCCCCGCGGACTTCGTACGGCAGCGCGAGGTCTAATCGATACTTCCCCGCGACGCGGAGGAAGAGTTTGCGATCGTCCACGTCTAGCTCCGCGGCGGCGATGGAGTCGATCTTCGGGACGTCCACTCGCACGACGATCGCGGTCGGTCGCGTGTCCCTCCGTCTCTCGACCTCCGTGCTCGCGCCCGAGTTCCCGAACTGGCTGCCCATGTCCTTGTTCCCTTCCCGGTGCACGATGACGTAGTGAGGCTCGCACTCGCCGTCCGGCTCCTTCGCCGGGACGGTTTTTCTCGCGACGGCTTTGTCGAACCGAAACGCGCTCGATTTCCCCTCTTCGCTCGACCCGCCCGGGGCTGTCCCCGCCGCCGCCTTCCCGGCCATCGCGGCCAGCGGCGCGATCCTCCCTCGCCCCGGCGCGTTCTTCTCCTTCTCTTTGTTCTTCTCGCTCTTGATCGCTTGCACTCCCGGGCCGGTCTCCGCGCCGAAGAATTTCTTCTTCGGGAGCGTAAACGCGGTCTCCAAGTCGACGTCTTCGTACGCTTTGTTCACCGCCTCGATCGCGGTCTCGATGACCATCGTGCGTAACCGCTCGTCGCTCTGCGTTAATCCGTACGTGTGCTCGGAGACGCAAAAGTCGTACGCCTCGCACGTCTTCCCTGACTTGTCCTTTTCCTCGTGCGGCTGCCCGAGCGTGTGCGGGACGCTCCATTGGAGCCCGCCGTCCACGCGGACGCTGGTCGCGTCGTCGCACTTGTCGCTGTGGCAGATGTTCACGAACGCCTTCCGGTCCGTCTTCTTACACCGCGTCTTCACGACGAACCCGGGCGTCGGGATCACGAGCTGCACGCCCTTGCCGTACGTAGCCTCGATCTTGTTCTCGCGCTCGAGCTGCCTGAGGTACAGATCGCTCTCGGCCTTGTTCTTCGGATCGGAGATCTCCTCCGCGTACTCCATGAACATCTTCTTGAACTCCGGGTCCTTGAACGCGGTCTCGAACTTGGAGACCTCATCGGGGGTGAGCTTCAGATCCTCCAAGTTCTTCGCCGCCTGCGCCGTGGGGTCCATCGTGCCCGCCGCCCGTGCGCGCGCACGAATTATGTGGTCAACGATTCGGCACCCTCGGCTTCTTCGGGCGATCGAACTGAACCGGCGGATCTGATTCTGGAAAAGCGCTGGACAGTTGCCGCGTCAGATCCGTTCGCCATTGCCGCCGCGCACGCCTCCACGCGCCGCCGCGCGTTTCTCTTCCTCGCGCGCGAGACCGCGCGCCGCGCGTCGTCTCCGTGCGGCGCTCCGTCATGCCGTCCACCGCGCCGACGGCGACGCGACCGATGAAGGTGATCATCGACACCGACCCGGGGATAGACGACAGCTGGGCGCTTTTGTTAGCGATACGGTCCCCCGAAGTTCAGATCTTAGGCGTGACGACGCTGTACGGCAACGTCACGACGAAGATGGCGACGAAGAACGCGCTGTATCTGTTAGAACTCTTCGGACGCCCCGACGTGCCCGTCGTCCAAGGCAGCGAGACGTCGCTGACGGGCGAGCCTCAGAACCACATCGCGGATTTCGTCCACGGCGACGACGGGTTCGGGAACACGCGTCGATCGAACCCGCGCGGGACCGCCGTTCCGGGCAAGACCGCGGCGGAGTTCATCGTGGAGACGGTAAACGCGCACGATCCCAGGGAGGTCACGGTCATCGCGCTCGCGTCCGCGACGAACGTCGCGATGGCGATGCGATTAGACCCGGGGATGGCGAAGCGCGGGTTACGCGTCGTGCACCTCGGCGGCGCGTTTCGCGTGAACGGGAACGTCAACCCCGCCGCCGAGGCGAACGTGTTTTGCGACCCAGAGGCCGCGGACGAGCTGTACGGCAGCGGCGCGGACGTGACCGTGATCGGTCTGGACGTCACGGAGAGGCTGTTCTTGACCAGGGCGGACCTGGACGCGATGCGAACGACGAACGACGAGTCGACGAATTTCTTGCGCGACATCTCCGAGTTTTACGTCCAGTTTCACGAGCGCGCCGTGGAGCCGTCATTCAGCGGGATGTTCATGCACGACCCGGCCGCGGTGCTGCTCGCGTTCCGGCCGGATTTATTCACGATCGAGCGAGGCGCGGTCAGGGTCGAGTGCGAGAAGGGCGCGCTGTGTAGGGGGCAGACGGTGTTCGACGAGGGCGTCAAACGGTGGACGTTCGCCAACGCGTGGACCGAGGAGGGTCGCGGACGCGTCGGCGTCGCGGTCGACGTGGACGCGAAGGGCGTCATGGACGTGTTCAGAGCACGGTACGAGATTGGCGGCGGGGGGAAGGCGAGGACGCGGATGGTTGTCGCCGGCGTGTTGGGGGTGGTGCGGAAGGTTGGGTCCGTGCTGCGAGGGATCGTCCCGCGCGACATACTCTCGAACTCTAAGCGGGAGAAATAGCAGAGCATACCCGTACACGTAGCAGTCTGGTCTTCTCAGGTTGCCGCGCGGGAAAAGCGACGCGTCGAACACGATCGAACACTCACTTCGTCGGCGCGCCTCCTACGCGCGATGGCGCCTCCGTCGACGCCTTCCAAGGCGACCCCTGGGAAGACCCAACCCCCGGCGACGCCGTCCACGCCCGCGCCCGGGAACGATGACGCCTCCGCGCTCGCGAGCCTCCTCATGTTCATCCTCCGATCCGCGCTCTTGGTCGCGTCGCTCGTCGCGGCGTATCGGATCCGCCTCTACGCGGTCCGCGACTACGGCCGCGTCATCCACGAGTTCGACCCGTGGTTCAACTTTCGCGCGACGCAGTACTTGGTCGACAACGGTCGCGAGAAGTTCTTCAAGTGGTTCGATCACAGCGTGTGGTACCCGCTCGGACGACCGGTCGGGACGACGATCTACCCCGGGATGCAATTCACGGCCGCGGGAATCTACAACGCGCTGAACGCCATCCCGGACGTGACCGTTTCCCTGAACGACGTCTGCGTCTTCATGCCAGCGGCGTTCTCCGTCCTCGCGTCGCTGTTCACCGGCGGGATCGCGTGGGAGGCTGCGAGCGAGGGGAACAAAGCGTCCTCCGCCGTCGTCGCGATCGCGGTGATGGCGATCCAACCCGGGCACCTGATGCGATCCGTCGCCGGCGCGTTCGACAACGAGTCCGTCGCCGTGACCGCGATCACGGGGACGTTCTACTGGTGGGTCCGGTCGTTGCGGACGCAAAAGTCGTGGCAGTTCGCCTTCATCGCCGCGGCGAGTTACTTTTACATGGTCGCCGCGTGGGGCGGGTACACGTTCGTCGTGAACATGATCGGCGTCCACGCCGGCGTCTCCATGCTCGCCGGGCGGTTCTCGTTCAAACTCTGGCGGTCGTACTCGATCTTCTACGCGCTCGGCACCGCGGCCGCGACGCGCGTGCCCGTCGTCGGGATGATGCCGTTCCAGTCAATGGAGCAGATGGGCCCGCTGTTCGTCTTCTTCATGTGCCAGCTGTACGCCGTCTCCGAGTCGCGTCGAAAGACGCTGAGCGACCGCGAGTACGAGACATTTCGCAAGCGTCTCACCTCCGTCGGCGTCGGCGTCGCCGCGGTGATCATCGGCGCGCTCATCCAGTCCGGGAAGATCGGTCCTCTGTCCGCGCGCGTTCGCGGGCTCTTCGTCCCGCACACGCGCACCGGGAACCCGCTCGTGGACTCCGTCGCGGAGCACCAAGCGACGCAAGGCGACGTGTACGTGAAGTACTTCCACTTCAACGTCCTCACGGCGCCGTGCGGCGCATTCGCGTGCCTGCTGTTCCGACGCACGGACGCGCGCGTCTTCGTGGCGTCCTACTTTCTCGTGTCGTGGTACTTCTCGAGCAAGATGGTCAGGCTCGTGTTGCTCCTCGCGCCCGCGGTCGCGGTGTCGACGGGCATCGCGCTCGGTGCCGTCATCGAGTGGGTCGCGGCGGAGGCGGCGACGTTCGCGGAGATTCGATTGGATCCGGACGCGGTGCGCGCCAACGCCGCGGCCGCGGCGAAGACCCCGCCCGGCGGGACCCCAGGCGGCCGCGCCGCGCGCCGCGCGATGGATAAGAGAGGGAGGAAGAGCTCGTCGAACGGCGGGGCGTTCCGGATCACCGAGCTGCCGTCCGTCGCGAAGCGAAAGTTCCGCGAGAGCCCGGCGTTTCGCAAGGCGCTCGCGGGCGTCGTCGTCGCGTTATTCGCGCTCACCTCGCGCGCGTTTTCGAAAACGTGCGACCGCATGGCGCTGCAGATGTCCGAGCCGAGCATCATGGTCCGCGGGCACTACCCGAACGGCGACGTCGTCATGCTCGACGACTTCCGCGAGAGCTACTGGTGGCTGCGCGATAACACCCCCGAGGACGCGCGCGTGATGTCGTGGTGGGACTACGGGTACCAGATCAACGGCGTCGCGAACCGCACGACGCTCGCCGACGGCAACACGTGGAACCACGAGCACATCGCGCTCCTCGGAAAGTGCCTCACGTCCCCGGAGGAGGAGGGGTACCAGATCGTGAGGCACCTCGCGGACTACGTCTTGGTGTGGACGACGCGGTTCGCGGGGATGCACGGGGACGACCTCGCGAAGGCGCCGCACATGGCGCGCATCGCCGGGTCCGTGTACCCGGATGTGAGACAGGAAGGGTTCTACGTCGACGAACGCGGGAACCCGTCGGACACGATGCGCGAATCTTTGCTGTATCGTCTGCACTCGTACGGCCGGGACACAGAGATCGAGCCGTTGGAGCACTACGAGGAAGTGTACCAGAGCAAGCACTCGATGGTGCGGATATGGAAAGTGTTGGACGTCGACGTCGAGAGCAAAGGCGCGTTCTATACACTGGTCCCCATACGACCGCGTCGGCGCGGTGAACGCCGATCCTTAAGGACTTTTCCCGGCGTGTCTCTCCGATCCTTAAGGACTTTTCCCGGCGTGTCTCTCCGATCCTTAAGGACTTTTCCCGGCGTGTCTCTCCGTCCACCCCTCGCTTTCAATCACCGACCTCGACGCCTTTCAACTCCAACTGACGCCTATGAACTCCACCCCGACATCGCTTTGTATGGAACGGCCCAAAGATAAAATCGCGAGCGGCGCGCACCGCGCGTGCGATGGTGGCGGGTGGTACTGCCCCGGGGGGTACCCGGACGCGCTGCGAGAGACGCTCGCGTCGAAGCGGGACTTTCAGCAGATTGGCGCGTGATGAGAGGGAGGGAGGGAGAAGCGTGCGCGTCGATAACATGTCATCACGATGAAACGTGTCGCGTCCTATCGCGCGTCACTCTCTCGTCGCCCCACGGAAACAAGTCGCACTACTTTCCTACCCTTCCATGTCGTGAGGGTTTCCACGCAGACGCGTCAGTCGAACGCGCGCGCGAGATGCGCGCGTCGCTCGCCGCCGCGGCGGTCCTTCTCGCCGTCCTGGCGTCGAGCGCCGTCGGCGTCGGCGCGGACCACCCGCGGACGGTGTCGCGAACGCCGCGGTTCAAGACGTTCGCGCGTCCGTCGAGAGCGAAGGCGTGGGTCCCCGAGGCGCATGTGTTCGCGAATAAGACCCGGGATACGGACGTCCTCGACGGCGTCCTCGCCGTGGACGGGACGTACGCGCTCGTGGTGTCAAACGACCAGCTCCCGTCGCTCGCGCCCATCTCGAGCACGTTCACGATCGCGATGTCGCTGTTCCTTCACGACGACCTGAACGTCGCGTCGATCGACGCGCACCGCGGGATCTTTTGGAAGGGGGGCGCGAGCGGCGATCGGACCCCGAGCGCGTGGCTGATCCCGCACAGCAACAGGGTGACGTACCGCGTGAGCACGTCGAGCGCGGAGGAGGTGTGGGGGACCTCCGCGGCCGCGTTGCCGACGCGGCGCTGGGTCCACCTCGCGTTCTCCGTCGGCGCAGACAGGATCATGAGACTCTACGTCGACGGGAAACTCGACAGCGCGGTGGAGATCGTGGGCGAAGTCGTCGCGAACGACGGCCCTCTGTACCTCGGCAAAGACGCGCACTTGACGGGAATCAACGCGTTCATAGCCTCCGTGCAGATGCACGCGCACGCGCTGGAGGACGAGGACATTGCGCAAGCCGCCGCGCACGCGCTCCGCGCCGCGCCGGATTTTGATGGCGAGGCGTCGGCGGAGGCGCGCGCGGGCGCGGATGCGAACCGCGAGGCGCGCGAGCGGCACCACAGGGACGGCGACGCGTTCGCGTCGCTGCTGTCGTCGTTGCCGATGCCCATGCACGCGCGACAGGCGGCGGCGATGACATCGAGCGCCAGGGCGGAGATGGAGGTGCGGACGAGCCAAGCGCGCGCGGACGCCATCGCCAACGCGGAGGAGAAGGAAAAGATGGCGAGAAGGTGCGTTCTATACACTGGTCCCCATACGACCGCGTCGGCGTGGTGAACGCCGATCCTTAAGGACTTTTCCCGGCGCATCTCTCCTCCCACCAGGCTGTTCATCGACGCGGAGTACTCGCGCGGAGGCATCGCGCTCAACGACGCGATGAAGAGCGAGAATCGGAACGCGGGCGGGACGTACCGGTATCGACGCGGGCCGAGGGAGTCGGGTCTGGCGAAGGCGCGCGAGCATTATCTGCGCGCGGCGGCGATGGGGCACGACAAGGCGCGGTACGCGCTCGCGACGATGCACCAGCTCGGGTACGGCGGTCCAATCTCTCACGGGAAGGCGCTGTATCACAAGCTGAGGGCCGCGGCGCGAGGGGACCCGGGTTCGAACCTCGCGGTCGGGTCCGCGGCCTTCGCGGCGGCGTCCGCGGCGGCGTCCGCGGGCGGCGGCGGCGGCGAAGCGGCGTGTCGAGTCGCGGAGTACTACCTCCTTCACGCGGCGAACGTCGCGTACGATAACAGCGGGAAACCGGGCGGGCAAAATCGGGTCGAGCGTCTGCGTTTATACGAGGGCGTGGAGAAAGAGCGGCAGGATCACAAAGGCCCGAACGATCAGAAGGTGCAGTACCTGGTCCAGACAGCGTCGCACGGGGACGCGCTCGCGTCGTTGGCGATGGGGAACGCGTATTATTGGGGGAATTTCGGTCTGCGGCGGAACTTTCAAGCCGCGCTGTTTTATTACGAGTCCGCGCACGCGCAAGGCGCGCTGCACGGCACCGTCGGCGTCGCGAAGATGAACCTAAAAGGCGAGGGGTTAGCCGGCGGCGTGAAGAACGTCTCGCGCGCTATGGAGATGTACGAGCAAGCCGCGAAGAGGGACTCCCCCGACGCGTTGAACGGTTTAGGGTACATTTACTTTTACGGCGACGCGGACATCGAGAAGAACACGACGACGGCGCTGTCGTACTTCCGCAAAGCCGCGGCGCTCGGGAACGCGGACGGACACATGAACAGCGGTCTGATGCTCCGCGCCGGGATCGGCGAGCGCGCGAACTTGACCGAGGCGCACGAGCATTTCAGCGTGTGCGCCAAGGCGAGGCACACGTCGTGCATCTATCAGATCGGTCTCATGCACAGCGAAGGGTCCATCCCCGGCGCCGAGCGCGACTGCTTCGCCGCGGCGCAGCGATTCCGACGCGTCGCGCAGAGCGGCGAGTGGATGGAGCCCCTGAGCGACGGTCTGAAGGCGCACCTCGCCGGGAACGCGTCGTTAGCGCGGTGGACGTACGACTACGTCGCCGGATTCGGGATGCCCGTGGCGAGGTACAACGCCGCGTGGTTGCACACGATTCACGCGCGAGAGATTCGCGTCGCGCTCGAATCGCCCGCCCGCGACTCCGGGCGCCTCTCCGACGAGAGCGACCTCGAGGCGATCGCCAGCGGCCGAAGAAGCGCGGGTCTCCTATCGTACTACGCGAGCGAGATGACGAAGGATCCCGCGACGACGCTGACCGATCGCGCGTACGCGGCGATGCTCCAAGCCGACTGTCTCTACCACGGCGAAGAATCGCGCCCCGGCGCGCGTTGCGCGAGACGTCTCCCCGACGCGTTGGCGGCGTACGAGCGCGCCGGGCGGATCGCGCGGGTCGCCGCGCGGACCAGCCCCAACCGCAACGGCGACGACGGCGAGAGCGGCGAGCTCCGCGACGGCGACGCGCGCCTGCTGCTCGCGCGCGCGTTGTACAGCGAGGCGTGGATGCGCGCGCGCGGGGAGGGGTGCGCCGTCGACCGAACGCGCGCGAAAGCCGCGTTGTGGTCGGCGCTCGCGGAGGGCCGCTGGCAGTCGTCGCTCGCCGTGGCGCCGTCGTTCGCGTGGTTCGTCGCGGAGGACGCGTTTCGATACCTCGTACCTTCCCGCGGTCGCGGTCGCGACGGCGCCGCGGCCGCGGACCCCGACGCGATCGCGCGCGCGTCCGCGTCGGTCACGTCGGGTTCCGGTCTCGCGTCGCGGCTGGCGCGGCGGGCGGCGGCGCCGTGGCGTCTGACGGCGCGCGTCGTCGCGGCGGTTATGGCGACGAGCTCCGGTCTCTTCGACCGGTTCGAACCGGTTCTCGCGAGCTGGTGGGCGACGCCGCCGGTCTGGCTGATCGTCGGCGCGTACGCGCTCGGTTGGTACGTCGTCTACAGGTGCGTCATGGCAGGGTACGGCGGCGAATATAACCCTCTGGTGCTGCACCGCCGACGCTTGGCGTTGGCGCGCGAGGATCGGTGGCGCGCGCGGTTGTTCGGCGGGACGCGCGCGAGGACGGTGGAGGAGAGGCAGCAGCGCAACGATCTGATTCGAAACCTGCACGCGCTGCACGATCTGCAGGAGGAAGCCGCGCGGACGAGCACCCCCGGGGAGATGGAGCGCATCCGGGACGAGCGCCTGCCGGACATCGCGAGGATAATCCGCGGGGAGGAGGACGAGGACGACGGCGGGTTCGGTCGGACGTTTGGGACGCTCATGATGGAGATACTCGGCATCGACGCGGCGCGTCTGGAGCCGGCGAATCGACCGGCGACGGACGCGGAGGTGGAAGTCTCGGTGACCGAAGTCGTGGAGACGCTCGTCGGGGAGCTCGTCGCGGAGATGGAGGGTTGGGGCGACGGCGCGAGCGCGGAGTGAGTAGACGTAAGTTGTTAGACACACGGCACTGCAGTGACGAATTATTTTGACGACGTCTGCCGAACCGAAATTCTTCCACACAGCATTTTCGCGCCCTCAATCGGATCGGATCATTCGTCTGCGCGCGCGATCGCCATGGAGCCGGTCCCCTCGCCCGATCCGGCCCCCCCCGAGGCGGTCGCCGAGGCGGTCGCCCCGCCCCCGGTCGAGGCTCCGCCCGTCGAGCCCCCGCCCGTCGAGGCCGTCGCTCCCGTTCCAGAGGTGCGTCCCTTCCCGACGTCTCGACGACGCGTTCGCTACTCAATGTGATTTTCCCCGCCGTCGCCGCCGTCGATTATGATCTGACGACGCTTCTTCCGCGCAGGCCGCGCCGATCGCACCGGAGCCGACGCCGATGGAGACGGAAGCGCCCCCTGTGGCCGCTCCCGAGCCCCCTCCCGCGGCGCCCGAGCCCGCGCCGGCGCCAGCGCCGGTCGCGGCGCCGGAGCCGGAGCCCGAACCGGCGCCGGAGCCGTCGCCGTCGCCCGAGCCCGAGCCGGCGCCTCCCGCCGCCGATCCCGCGCCGGTCGCGCCCGCGCCGGCGGAGCCCGAGCCCCCCGCGCTGGCGGAGCCCGAGCCCCCCGCGCCGGTGGAGCCGGAAGCGGAGGAGGTTCCCGCGCCCGAGCCGGAGCCCCCCGCGCCCGAGCCGGAGCCCCCCGCGCCCGAGCCGGAGCCGATGGAGGCGCCCGCGCCGGTCGAGGAACCGCCCGCCCCGAAGGCGCCCGCGCCGGTCGAGGAACCGCCCGCCCCGGAGGCGCCCGCGCCGGTCGAGGAACCGCCCGCCCCGGAGGCTTCCGCGCCGGAGATGGAGACGCCCTCGGAGCCGGACGACGGCCGCGCGCGCCGCCCGAAGCGCGCCGCGCCCGGGATCGACCCCGGACGCGTGACGCAGTCGGCGCGCACGGGCGGCCTCCTCCACACCGCGAGCGGACGGCAACAGGCGAAGGCGCTCGTCGACGAGGCCGTGTTCCGACGCGAACGCATCCTGGACGTGTACCACGCGGTCGAGTCGCTGTGCTTCTACACCGCGAAGGAGATGACCGCGCAGATGGAGGTGATCGACGGCGCGCTGACGCTCCGAGTGCCGCACGGACCGACGGCGATGCGCGTCGTCGTCGGGGATTTACTCGCCGTGTTACCCAAACACCTCATCGCGCTCAAGTCGCTGACGAAGACGCAAACCGAGGCGTGGTTTCCAGGCAGCGACACGCACTGGGGTTTAGAGTCCGCGGACGGGCTCCCCGGGTACCGCCGCCGCGCGATGACGACGCTCGAGACGCTCTGCGAAGTCGCCGCGAGCGGGAAGCATCGCAGGCTCTACAACGCCATCACCGCGGAGGTGGTATCGAGCGTGCAAGACCTCGCGCGGATCGCCGCGCTCGAGCTCGCGTCGAAGAAGAAGATCAAGAAGAAGATCGGCCAGCGCGGCGTCCCGGAGGAGCAGGCGGCGAAGGACGCGGAGGAATTCCTCGAGCTCGCGCGCGCGGCGGCGCAGACGCTCAAGTCAGGTGCGTTCTATACAAACGTTTTTCAGCCATCGCCCGGTTTCAACATTTGATCGCTCCCCTTTTCAACTGACCGGTGAACTGTTTTTGTATGGAACGACCCTCAGTGTGCACGCTGTTCGAATGGCGGGACCAGTACGCGGCGGCGGCGGCGGCGACGTACCCGCCGACGCCCGGGAGGAACCCGCTCGGGGCGCCGTCGAGGGATACCCTGCTCGACGCCGTCGTCGACGCCGCGTTCGTCGCCGTGCGACGCGCGACGCCGCTGCCGAGCGTCGGGACGGTGCAGAGCGTGGACGCGGTGGCTCCCGCGAGGGCGCTGCTGGCGGGGGCGGCGCGGCTGGCTGGCGTGGAGGGCGCCGCGGGCGTCTTCGCGCGCGGCGGCGTCGACCGCCTGCGTCCGATTCTTCGCCTCGCGCTCGCGGCGACGCGGCTCGCGGCCGCCGCGCCGGAGGACCCGTCCGGGGAGATCGCCGCGGCGGCGGCGCTCGCGGCGGCGAAGGGCGAAGCCCCGCCACCGGCGAGCGACGCGTCCAAAGCCGCCGCGGAGGCGAGGGACGCGTTGCTTCCCGTCGCGACGCACGGGCTCGGTCTGCTGCAAACGTTGCTCGACCTCGAGCAGGAACACCCGAAACCGTTTTGTTTCCTGGACGCCGCCGCCGCGGACGACGGCGAGGACGGCGTCGCGGACATGCTCGCCGCCGCCGTCGGCGCCGTCTTGCGCGCGACGACGGAGACGATGGACGCGCAGACGACGGCGGCGATGAACGGGTGGATCGGGGACGGAGGCGCGAACAAATGGGAGAAGACGAACGTCCCGGAGCAGCGGAAGGGCGAGTTCGCGGGGCTGATGGACGAGGAGGAGGAGAAGGCGGCCACACAGACCCCGGAGGAGGCGGAGGCGGCGAAGAAGCAGCGCGAAGCGGAGGAGGCGGAGCACCGCGCGAGGAAGCTCCCGCCGCCCGTCGGACGCGGGTCCGGGGCGTTGATCCTCGCCGCGATGCGATCCGCGGAGGCGCTGAGCGTGGACAGCGGCACGCAGGTGGCGACGATGGACGCGCTCGCGGTGCCGCTCGCGAGGACGCTGTCCCTCCCCGAGGACGTGTTCGCGCAGTGGTGGTGCGGCGGCGGCGCCGCGCGGTTGATTCACACGGACGACTCGGACGTGCAAGCCGCGGCGGCGGCGGCGGCGGCGGCGGCGACGGACGGGCCCGACGGCGCGGCGCAGGCGAAGTCCTCCGCGGTGTCCGCGATGTTCTCCCCGGATCCGGGGTGCCGCATCCCGCACGCCGTCAGGGAAGACCTCGCGAGCGACGGGCTGTTGCGCGTCGCGGAGAGAGCGCTGCTGTTGCATCACCTTCTCGGGAACCTCCACATTCACGACGCGCGCGTCGCCGGCGGCGTCGACCGCGGCCGGTTCCTCGGCCTCATCGTGGACGAGCTCGGCGGGAGTAAGGGCCACGAGGAGAGCGGCGCCGACGGCGGCGTCCTGAGCAGGGCGTTCAAGAACCTCGAAACTCTGCACGAGTACGCGCGTAAGTCGCTGCCGGAGGGCACCGTCGCGGAGCACGACGTCGTCATCGTCGACACGCTCATCGCGGAGTTCAAGACGCACACGCCGGGGGGCGGCGGCGCGGAGGCTGCGGCGGCTGCGGCGGCGGCGAGCGCGGCCGCGGCAGCCGCGGCCGCGCCGAAAGTCGACGCGATGGTCGCGTGAGCGAGCGATGGACGTCGTGAGCGATGGATGCGATAGGCGTGAATGAAGGGACTTCGGTTGTGATACAGTACAAAATATTTGAAGGCCCGACTGGACCCGACCCCGACCCCGACCCCGACCCCGACCCCGCGATCACAGACACGACGGCGCGGTCGTGTTCTCGTACTGCGGCCTCGGGTCGCGGTAGTTCAAAAGCGCGTACGGCGTCGTCGTGTTCTCCACGTTCACGCCGCTCCCGAGCTGCCTCGTCATCTTCCCCACGCTTTGCGCGTACACGTGCTGCCTTCCGTGGGTGTACCCCGTGTAGCCCGGCAGTCGGTGCTTCCCTTCCCGCACCGTCTTGTCGTCGTCCAGAACGACGTACCGCCACTTGTTATCCTCTCCGAGCTCTTTGTACTGCATCTTCGCCGTGCCTTTGCTCACGCGGTACGGCAGCGGCTTCGCGAAGTACGGGTAGTCCGCGCCCTTGGGCTTGGCGCCCGGCGCGTACAGATCGCGTTCCGGGTTTGAACCCACGGGCCGCTGCTCGTACATCTCCGGCATCTTCAACGGGTCCCCGCCCGCGCGCTGGCACGCCTCCGCCGACGGCGCGAGCCCGGTCGCGGTGCCGTAGCTCCTGCCGACGATCATCACCTTCTTCGGGACGTGCCCGCCGTACCCCGGGATTTGTTTCCCGCGCTCGAGCCTCCCGGAGCCGTGGGGCTTGCTCTCGGCGTAGCCGACGAGTCGACCGCTGCGCTGCGTCATCGTCTCGTTCGCGTCCCCGTCCTGGGTCAACTTCCTGGATACGTGCCCGTACGACGTCCCGTACACGTGCTGCCTCCCGTGGACGTATCCGGTGTACCCGGGCATGATCCCGCCGAGCTTCGCGGGGTCGTCCGACGGCCGCGTCTTGGTCTCCTTGCCCGTGAATTTCGTCTTCAAATTGCTCGAGTACGGAAGCGGCGGCAGCGACGCCGTCGGCGTCGCGCTCAGCGTCCCGGGCCCGTTGCTCCCCACGCCAACCTTCGTGAGCCTGAAGTCCTTCATCCCCTGCGTCTCGTCCAAGTACGGCCTCCGCTTCCCGACGTGCGCCGCGCCGAGGGAGGACGAGTACGTCGGATCCGTCGAGAGCGTCTGCGCGTACAGCGGGTTGTCGCCGCCGCCGCCGACGGGGCGCGCCTCGTACATGGCCGCGTTACCCATCGGGTTCTCTCCCGCGCGTTGCATCAGCACGGCTTCTTCCTGTTACGTATGGATTTTATGGTGACGTGACGTCGCGGCGCGGCACGACACGCGGGGCGGGGAGGGAGGGATGGTCGGTCCGCGTCGCGATTCATGGCGATCGCGATCGGGGAGAGAGGCGAGCGCGAGCGCGGAGGCGAGCGATCGGTCGATCTCGATTCGGAGGAATCGAGAATGAGAATGCGCGCGAGACGGGACGCGAGCGCGGACGCACCGCGCGGCGCGTGCCCTCGGTGTAGCTCTTCCCGATGACATGGTTGCGGCCTGGTGGAAGATACGAGAGCGGTGACGGCGTTCGTCAGCGTCTTGGGTGGTCGCGTGGCGTAGGACGGGGCGTCGTCCGAGACCCCGGCGTGTTCGGGTAACGCGGCGATTTCGCTCTCCGGGAGAATAATCGATTTGGATTGCGACGATTGGCGAGGCGCGCACCGCAGATGTATCCCTGGTATCCGGGGATCTTCTCGCCGCGGGACATTCCGGTCGAGTTCTGGCCGTCCTTTGCACTTCCTCGAGAGGTTCCCGCGGTGTCGGAAGCCTCCGCGCGAGCCTGGAAGTGCGCGCGTACGGGCGCGCGAGGGCCTACAGTATATATCGGGGAAATTCCGGCACTGAGCCGCGCGAGCGGACGAGGAAATTTCCCTGCGTCGCGTCCAGTCGCGCGACGTTTCGCGCAGCGCAAATTCGGTTCGGACAGTCGCGCGCGCGCCGCGTCCACGGCCGTCATGGCGAGCGACTCCGCGCGCGGCCTCGCCGCGTTCGGCGCCTTCGGCGTCTTCAGCGCCGCGTACGTGTACGCGATGGCGCGCGCCGAGCGCGCGCGCGACGACAGGGAGCGCGTCCTCGTCCTCGTGAGCGGGGACGGCTTCACGTCCGCGTCGCTGGACGCCCCGAGCGCGCCCGCGACGTTCGTCGGGTGCGCGCTCGTGCGAGGCGTGAAGATGTACATCGACCCCAAGCTGAAAGGGTGCCGGGAGTACGTCGACCCGAAGGACGGGTCGCAGAGGGTGAATCCAGCGCTCGTGTGCTCGGGTGCGTCCGTCGATCGGGGATCCATCCGCGTTGTTGCCGTTCGAATTCCGCGTCGCTTCGCCGGATCTCCTCCCCCGCCGCGCCCGCGTCGTCCGCGTCGTCCGCGGCGTTCGTCCCCGACCTCACCTCGCTTCGTCTCCTCTCCCCTCCCGTCCATCTCCCCAGGCGACGACTTAGACGCGAACGTGTACGAGTGCTACGCCGTGGAGCCGTCCGCGGTGCTGCGCGCGCTGCGCGGCGAACCCCGCATGCTCGGGCTCACGACGGACACCGTCCTCGTCGACCTCGACGCGTCGGAGACGTCCGCGAAGCTCTCGCGCCTGCTGAAACGCCGCGCGCAGGACGAACACCTCGCGAACGGCGGGACGCTAGCCACCGTGGACTACGACCGCGCGGCGCTGCTCACGTTCGTCGCGCACAGGATCCCGAGAGGCGCGGTGCCCGCGGAGCCGGCGTACGCCAAGGATGACGGCACGCGCGTCTTCGAGTGGACCGCGTGCGTCGGAGCATTCGCGGAGGGCGTCGACGCCGTCGGAGAAGACGGCGACGGCGCCGCCAGAGAGAAGCACGCGCGGGCGCTGGAGAGGGCGACGCGGAGCGCGCAGAGGAACGGGAAGTGGCTGAACGAGAGCGATCCGTACGGCGCCGGGCCCGGGACGTTGCGATGCCGCGGCGTGACGACGCGAGACGCGGAGGCGCTGGCGGCGCCGGAGACGGAGGCGCGTCCCGATATCGACGCGCCGTTCCCCGCACGACCGCGCACGCGCGGCTGGGTGCACGCCGATCCTCTAGGACTTTTCTTCCCGTCGCTTGTCTCCGCCCATCACCCCTCGCTCACGATCCCGACGTACCTCGACGCCTTTCGACTCCGCCACTGACGCACCCCTGAACTCCGCCCCGACGTCGCCTCGCTCGGATCCTCGACCCGCAGCCGTGGTGGGCCGACGCGAGCCTCGGCGACGGCGAGTTCGACGAAGACGAGTACGAGGACGAGCTCGACGTCAGACCGGTGGCGGGCGCGGTCGAGGAGGAGGAGACTGCGGACGGGGCGAAGGACGAGGAGCCGGCGCCGCCGAGCACGCCGGCGCCGGTGAGGACGACGCGGGGGTCGCCGGCGGCGGCGTCCGACGGCGGCGGCGGCGACGGCGGCGGGACCGCGTCGGCGTCGGCGTCTCCGGTGGCGTACCTCCTGAACATGCTGCACGCCACCCCGGGCGGCGCGAGGGCGTCGCCGAAGAGCGGATCGCCAGACGCGTCTGCAGACGCGGGACCGACGCCGAGATCGAGCGGCGGCGCGAGGGCGTCGAGGTCGAAGTCGCCGAGGGGCGGGGAGTCGCCGGCGCCCGCGGGGAAGGGCGGGCACCGGCATCACTCGCACTTCGGCGAGGACCTGTGACGCGCGACGCGACGCGATCGACCGGGTCCGGGTCCGGGGGGGGACGCGCAGCGGCGGTGGTATTCGTTAGTGTATGGTGTTGTTTAACTTATTGTGATTGTTTCTCCATGATGGTCGCGTTCGTAGTCGCCGGCGCGGTCGCCGGCGCCGGGGCGCCGGCGCCTGCGTTTTCGAAAAACGGCGCGGCCGCGTGTGGTTCAGCGGGAAGACAAGTCAGCACATAACTTACCGCCGCGAACCGTCGCTCTTCTCTTCCCTCGGCCGCGGTCGCCTCGGCGCACTCCCCGAGCGCGGTCGACCGCGAAGGTGGTCGCGCGCGGCGCGAAGCGGAGGTCAGGGCCGTCTCGATGGCGACGGCGACGCCGCTCGCGGCGTCCGCGCGCGCGCGCAAGGGCGTCCTCGCGCGAAGCCGCGAGTCGATCGTTGGACTCTTCACCGCGCTGAGATCCGTCGCGCGAGACAAGCCGCTCACCGCGGTCGCCCTCGCGGTCGCGATCGTCGCGTCGCTCCCCGTCGCGACCGTCGCGGTCACGAGCGCGATCGTGCTCTTCGTCCTGACGTTCAGCGTCTTCGCGCTGCCGCTCGCGGTCGTCACCGCGGTCTGGTGGCTCGTCCGCGGGCGCTGGAAGAACGCGTCGTCGCCGCGCGTCTCGAATTCGACGTCGACGACGTCGACGACTTCGACGGCGATCGACGCCCCCGCGAGGGACGCGCTCGCGGCCGAGGCCGCCGCGGACGTCCTCATCGTGTACGCGGGCCAGAGCGACTTCAAGATGGAGGGCGTGGACGACGCCGCGGGGATGGTCGCGCGGAGGGTCGCGTCCAGGCTGCGCGCGCGAAACGATCGCGTCTCCGTCGCCGTCGTCTCCGTCGCGGAGCTCTGCGCGGGCGGCGACGCGCGCGCGGTCGCGACCCGGCTCGTCGGCTCGTCGTCCAGCGGCGGCGGCGGCGGCGGCGGCGGCTCCGCGATCGGTCGGTGCGCGTGCTTCGTCGTCGAGGCCGCGGTGTGCACGGAGGAGCCGAGCGACGATTTGAGGAAGTTTCGGCGGCTGCTCAAGTCGCTCGGCGGCGACGCGAAGAGCCCGTCCAAGGAACGACGCCGGAGCCCACTGAAGAGCGCGTGGAAGAGCCCGAGGAAGGGCGGCGGCTCCGGCGCCTCGTGCGGCGGCGTCCTCGGAGGGTTGAAGTACGCCACGATCGCGGTGAGCCGCTCGTTCGGCGCGGAGGGGTCGGGGCAAAACGCGTTTTGCGGACCGCACGCGGGGGGCGCCGCGGGCGTGGACTTGGACGCGTTCTTGGCCACGAAAGCGGTCGGCGGCGCGCGCGTCGCGACGCGGTGCGACGCGGAGATTGAGCACAACGGCCCGGGGGTGATCGACCGGTGGACCGCGGAGGTGTTCTCGCAGGCGATCCGAGGGAAGCCGCCGTCGTCGCCGAGGGTGCTGAGCCTGTCGTCGTCGCACAGCGCGCTGCTGTGCCGGCACCTGCGCGCGCGCGGGTGCCTCGTCGGCTGCGACGCGCACTTCGAGGACCGCGCGCTCCCTCGCCCCGGGGACGAGGGGTACAGCAGCAGCGGCAGCGACGTCGGCGGCGCCCGCGGCGGTCGCGCCTCGAGCCACAGGCTCGAACGCGTCAACGCGTGGAACCCGAACCTCCGCAAAGTCGCCGAGCTCTCGCCGTCGCTCGTCGTGTGCGCGTACGACGCGTCCGCGGAGGCGCTCCGCGCGATCGCGCCGACGTGGGAGAACGACGACCCGCGCGCGTTGTCGTTCGAGATCGCCGTGTTGAAGTGCCCGCTCGGTCGCGGCGCGATCGCCGCGGCGGCGGCGCAATTCGGCGAACTCGCGCGACTCGTTCGCGTCCGGCGCTCCCTCTCCGACGCCGCCGCGCGCGCGCTCACGGACGGCCTCGCAGCCTTGCGCGTCCGCGCGGAGCGAGAGTTGGGGATCGCGGACGCGGACAGCAGAGACGAAAACTGGCCGCGTCGGAAGAAGCCGTTCGTGTTCGTGGAAGCGGACCCGGATCTGTACTCCGCGGACTCGTGCACGCCCCTCGGCGCCGCGCTCGCGGAGGCGCTCGGCGTGGGCAACATCGCGGACCCGTCCGCGAACGGCGAGGACGACGCCCCGGGCGCGCGATCGAGACCGAAGCCGACCATCGAGAAACGAGCCGCGGCGGCGCTGGAGGCGAGGAAGAACGGCGCCGACGCGAACGCGAACGCGCCGCCGAGTCACTACCCGCAGCTCCCCGCGGAGCGGTTCTGGACTCCGCGCGAACCGGACTGGTGGATCGTCGCGCACCCTTCAAACGACGGCGGCGGCGGCGACGCGCCCAAAGCGTTCGTGGACTGCCTGGACCCGGAGGACGTGAACCGTCACGGCGCGCTTCGCGAGGGACGCGTCGTTCGGCTCACAGACCGCTCGTGCGACGCCGCGAACCAGTGGACGCCCGAGCTCGTGGACGTCGCGCGCGAAGTCTTGGACGCGATGCGCGCGTATTACCGCGGCGAAGGCGACGACGCGGGCGTCGCCACGCCGTCCGCCGACGACGCCCCGCGGACTCCGGAGCCCGGGTCGAGGTCGAGGTCGAGGTCGAGGTCGGGGCGGATGTCGATCTCGTCCTCGAGCGCGTCGTTGACGTCGTCTGACGTCGAGCCCGGGACCGCGGCGGCGGCGGCGGCGGCGGCGACGACGACGACGGGCGGCGGCGGCGGCGGCGGCGGGTTCACGCTCCAAGCGCAGCTCGAGGCGTGGAGCACGCTCGCGCTGAAACGCCGCCTCACGGAAGACTTTGGCGTCCCCGCGGTGGACTCGTTAGGGTCGCCGCTCTTACGCCGCCCGGACGTCATGCGTCGCCTCCTCGAGTGCTACGCCGAGGAAGGCTGCGCGACCGGACGACGCGTGATCGACGTCCCGGGCGTCCCGATCGAAGACGCCGCGTTGTTCGAGCTCCGCGCCGAGCTGGACGCGTGGGCCCTCACGGCGAAACCCCCTCACGGCGGCGGTAAAGGCCACGGCGCAGGCCACGGCGAAGCGGAGCTGTACGAGCATCTTCGGCACCCCGCGGACGTCGACGCTCGGCTCGGGAAGGGCAGCAGGGAAGCGCGGCGAGCGACGGACGCGTTCAAGAAGCGCGCGTCGTTGTGGTCCGCCGTCGTCGACGCGTTGAAGGCGACGGACGCGACGTTCGCTTCGCGCGTCACCGCGATGGAGATCACGATGAACCGCCGGTCGTCCCCGCGGGTGGACAAGCAGTGTATCGGGCCGCACTACGTCATGGCGTGCGGGACGTTCGAGGCGAACACCGGCGGGGTGTTCGTCGAGTGCGACGCGCGCGTCGTCGCGGAGGTTGACGTCCGAAACGCCGTCGCTCGCGTGGACGGTCGGTTCCCGTGTTGGACGGCGAACTACGGCGCGGACGGTCGGCGGTTCGAGGTGGCGTGTTATCGCACCGTGGGCGAGCCGGTCGCGATCACGACCGCGGTGTTCGAGAACGGGCAGGAGGCGTTGTTCTCCCCGGGGCGGCGAGCCGCGGGCGGGCGGCGGGTGTGATGAAGGACGATTTCGTTTTTACTGCGCGTAAGGTTACTGTAGTTTTTCATTTTTTGTGGACACGATCCACGATCCATCCCGACGCGCGCACTTCATCGCGCGCGATGCGGGCGTCCGCGGCGGCGCGCGTCCCGCGGACGTGCCACGCGTGCGCGTCGCGAGGACGCGCGGCGTCGACGAAGGACGCGAAGAGAGCCATGGCGGGGCAGCGGCGCGCGCGCGAGGACGCGGTCGCGGTCGTGGACGTCCTGAAGGGCTCCACCACCGCGGACGACTCGGGCGACGACGAACTGGACGCGGTCGTCGTCAACCCCGCGACGGTCGCGAGGCTCGCGCGATACGCGGAGTGGGGTGATGGTGGCGTGAAGGGGTTCTTTGAGCCCGGGCTCTGCGCGCTGTACGCGTCCCTCGACGCGTTTCACGTGCGCAACGGCGTCAAGGGATCGCTCGCGGAGATTGGGGTGTACCACGGGAAATCCTTCGCGCCGCTCGCGCTGATGCGGCGCGACGACGAGCGCTGCGTCGCCGTGGACTGCTTCGACGCGCAGGAGCACAACGTGGACGACAGCGGCGCGGGTGACAGAGCCGCGTTCGAGCGCAACGTCGCGCGCGCGATGCGCGCGTGTCGCGAGGACGACGACGACGACGAGGACGAGGACGGGGATGGATCCGACGGATCCGACGGGACCGACCCCGCGTGGCTGCGCGTCGTCGAGGCGGACTCGGCGACGACGCCGCCGGAGACGCTGACGCGCGCGGCGGACGGGCAAACGTTCCGAATCTTCAGCATCGACGGGTGCCACACCGAGTCCCACACCGCGGCGGACGTGGAGACGGCGTCGAGGACGCTGCACGACCTCGGCGTCGTCGTCGTCGACGACGCGTTTAACCCCGACTGGCCGGGGGTCGTCGCGGGGCTGTTCCGGTGGACGGAGCGAAATCGAAACCGAAACCGAAACGGCGGCGGCGCGTCGACCGCGCCGCCGCTCGTGCCGTTCGCGATAGGGTATAACAAAGTCCTCATGTGCCGCCCGGACGCGCACGACGCGTTGTTGACGCACGTGAAGACGTCGCGCGAGACGCGAGCATCGGTTCGGAAAACCGCCGAGTTTCTCGGCGGAGAAGTCGTCGTCCTCCCGCACGGTTGGATCTCCACGTTCCACGGGAACGAACGACTGAGCTCGAGTAATTAGCCTCTAGCTAGTAGATAGCGTGCTCACGTCGTCACGTCGTACAACGCGTCGTAACAACTTACCTATAGTAGTCATCAACTCAACTCATCATTTCCTACGAAACTCGCGCGCGAACTCGCTCGCGTACGTCTGCAACACCGGCCTGTTCACGACCCTCCTTCTCCCCCCCTCCGATACCGCGTGCGACCCCGCGTTTAGCACGATCAAGTTCGGCCCGAACGCGGCGGCGACGAAAGCGCCGGTCAAAAATCCACCCAAGTGCGCCCAGTTATCGATCCTCCTCGACATCATCCCGAACAGCGCGTTGACGCCGACGCTCCCGAGCAACGACTGGAGCTGCCGGTCCCCCACCGCGCCGAACAAGTCGCTGTGACGGTGCAGGTACACGCCCATCGCGCCGACGAGGCCGAAGATCGCCCCGGAAGCGCCGACCGCGTTGTTCGGGCACATCTTGTACGATAAGTAGTTCCCCCCGATCCCGCTCGCGAGGTATAACCCCACGAACGAGTCCCTCCCGAACTGCCGTTCGATCACCGGCCCGAGGTTGTGCAACGACATGCAGTTCACCAGCAGATGCAGCGGCGAGCCGTGCAGCAGCAGCGGCGTGACGAGCCGGTACACTTGCCCCGCGGCGATCTCCGCGTTCACCTTGGCGCCCATCGCGGTGAACGCGTGCCCGGTGAGCACCTGCAGCACGTACCCGATCGCGGTGGTCCAGAGGAGCGCGTCCGTCGCCGCGCGGCGCGGATCCCCGGACGTGAGCCCGCCGTCGTATCGCCTTCCCCCCCTGGGGGAAGATGAACCGGCACCGCCGCCGGGCCAGTACGCGGCGGCGCCGCCGAGCGCGAGCGCGGCGGTGAACGTCGCCGCGGACGCGGCGGGTCCCACCGAGGCCGCCGCGGTCGTCGGGAGGGAGAAGGAGAACGTCGACGATCTCGAGGACGACGACGTCGACGCGCCGCCGAGGACGCCGCCTCGCGCGCCGCGGCTTCCGCCGCTCGCGCGTCCCCCCCGCGACGGCCGAATCGATAGACTCTTCCCGCTGCCTCCTCCCGCGCGCGCGGACCGCGGGCGTCGCGCGGCGTCCGCGTCCGCGTCCCCGAATCGCCGTCGTCCCGACGGCGGTTTATCCGCGCCTCGTCCTCCTCCGCCATCCTTCCCGTCTCGTCCGAACCGCGCGGCCGCGCCGCGCCACCGCGCGCCGCCGCCGCCGCCGCCGCCGCCGCCGCCGAGCGCCGCGAAATTCGGCGGCGTGATCCACCCCATCGCGGCCGCGTCCGCTCGCGCCGCGTCCGACGCTCGCCTCGACGCGATCCGAGCGCTCCCGGGAGTGACGCCGCGGGCCGTCAATGGCGCCGACGGCGTCCAGTCAGCGCGCCTCTCGCGGCCACGGGACCGCACAAGATGCTGCGCGTCGCCCCGTCGCCGCTCTCCGCGCGACCGCCGGCGCGCCGGCACCGCGGCCGAGCGCGCGCGGTCGTCGCCGCGAAAGACGCGAAGACGCTCGCGCCCGTCAAGCCCGAGGGCAAGGTCGAGCGCGTCTCGCTCGTCCCCACGGACGTGCCCCCCGCGCGCAGCGCCGCGGTCGGCATCGGAGGCGCGCTCGTCGTCTCCGGCATCGCCGCGCTGAACATCCGGCACAACAAGAGAGCCGAGGCGAAGGAGCGCGCGCGGCGGGCGGAGGAGGCGGCGGCGAAACGCGCGCGGGAGGAGGAGGAGGAGGAAGCCGCGAAGGCGTCGGCGGCGTCCGCGTCCGCGTCGGCGGACGAGGACGAGGACGGAGCGTTCGTCGAAGAGGGCGTCGTGTTCAAGAGAAAGGTGAACGCCTGACCGACGCTCAGAATAAGATAGGTTCTGTTCCGACGCCCGCGCGCCGCCGCCGCCCCGTTGTTGTAATACTGTACTATAAAACGAACGCGAAAGGAGAGCGACGGGCGCCGTCGACGCCCCGCGCGCGCATCGACCGCGCCGGGCTTTCCCGCGACGTGGGGAAGTTCGCCCGGTCGGCGTCACGTGGCGCGGGCGTCGTCGCGGCGCGTCGCCGCCGCCTCCGCGTCGAGAGAGGCTAATTAATTAATTATTCGCGTCGTCGTCGTCAGTCGAACTTCGAGAGCACGTTGTCGATCGGCGCGAACAGCTGCGGGAGCAACGACAGGAACACCAGACCCCCTAACACGGTCTTCAGCTGCTCTTGTCCCGGGAACGACCCGTGCGGGAGCGCGTTGCACGCGAACACCCCCGCGAACAGCGCCAGTCGTATTTTGTTCTTCGCGTTGTACCGCTGGTGGTACCACTCCGCGTCGTGCCACGCCTTCGGCGGCGCCACCGTCGTCATCGCGGCGCGCCCGCGCTTCGCTTCGTACGCGTCGAGGGCGTCCATCACCGCGTTTTTCTGCGCCTCCGTCGTCGGCCACACCGCGGACTGATACTGCGTCGTGAACGAGACGCACGGGTCGTGCTGGGCGAGGAACACGTCGAGGAGCGATCGATACGACACCACGGAGGGGTCGAACTCGATCTTCAGCGCTTCCGTGTGCCCGTCGCCCGCGCAGACGCTGCCGTACGACGGGCTCGGCGCGTCCCCGCCGGTGTACCCGACCCTGGTGGAGAGCACGCCTTCGATGGAGGAGAAGGTCTCCTCCGGAGACCAGAATCATCCCATCGCGAAGACGGCCGTCTCGGTCGACGTCGTCGACGAGGACGTCGTCGCGGCGTCGTTCGTCCTGACGCCGCGACGGGCCGTCGTCGAGCGAGGGCGCGCGCGCGACGACGAGGACGACGACGACGCGCGGACCCGCGCGGGGTGCGCCGCGGGCGCGGCGAGGGCAGAGAACGCCGCCATGACGGCGCGCGCTCGAGAGTGGGGCGCGTCCGAGACTCGGAGACGGCCACGTGGGGTGTATCCGAGCGACAACTGGCGATGGCGCGGTAGGGACTCTCAGCTGCGGACCTCCGCCGGACCGCCGCCTCGCTCATCACATCGCGCGCGCCGTCGCGTCCGCGCGTTCCCGCGACGACCACGAGCTCCATGACGTCCACGGCGACGCTCGCGACGACGCGCCACGCCGCTCGCGCGCGCGCGCGATCCATCCGACGCGCGCCGCCCCGCGCGATGCGCGCGCCTCGCCGTCCCTCGCGATCGACCGTCCTCGTCCGCGCGGCGCCGAGCGGGGAGAGAGACTCGGACGGGAACGAGGACGTCGGCGCGGGCTTGAAAGCGGTGTGGTACGGCGCGGAGGCGATGGGGAAGATGGTCGGCGCGGTCAAGAGCAAGGACGAGTCGTCCGCGACGTCGAGCGCGAGCGCGTCGTCCGCGTCCGCGGCGTCGTCCGCGGCGACCGTGGATCGCGAGCGCGCCATCGCGCTCCTCAGGGAGGACTACGACAGCTCGTACTTCGTCTCCGGCGTCGGCGAGCTCGCGGCGTACGCCCCGGACTGCGAGTTCAGCGACCCGTTCGTGGCGTTCAAGGGCGTGGACCGGTTCAAGCAGAACGTCGGCAACCTCGGAGGGATGATGCGCGACGTCGACCTGAAGATCACGGGGTGGGAGGAGAGCGAATCGGACCTCGTCACGAGCTGGCGGTTCAGCTGCGTCTTGGACCTGCCGTGGAAACCGAAGCTCGCCGCCGCGGGCGGGACGACGCACGTGTTTGACCCCGACACCGGGAAGGTGGTGAAACACATCGAGCGGTGGGACGTAGAGCCGAAGAAGGTGGTGAAGCAGCTGCTGTCGCCGTCGTCGAAGATTCCGGAGAACCGCGCGCAGGTGTTCATGTTCTCGCTCTCCGACGGCGACTACCTCGGGATGTGGCTCGCGGTGACGCCCGCGGTGATCAAGTTCACCGCGCCGTGGGTGGGGGTGTCGCTCCTCGCGAAGGTTGCGGGGCTGAGCGCGGAGGGGACGTTCGTGGGGGGGATGGACTCGGTCGCGTGGTGGCTCCTCGTCGCCGCCGTCGTCGGCGAGGGCGCGAGATTCTTCAAGGGCATCATCGGGTCGTGATCCGATCGCGTCGCGCGTTCGCTGAGTTAGTTGACACGTCGAGATACGTAGATGAATAAACATCGCCTAAAGAAAGAAGCGACGTAACGTAACGGCGCGACGAACGATCGCTTCACCGCTTCAAGCGCTTCTCGCTCGAGCGACGCGGCGGCGACGGCTCCGTGTCGTCGAACCGCGCCGGCATCTTCCGCTTCTGGTCGCGCTTCGCCGGTCGAATCCCGATCGGCTGCCCGTCCGGGCCGAGGACGACGTCCTGCGTCTTCGACCGCGGCGTGTCCGGGAGCCCGGCTTGCTGAAACACCGCGGCCGCGGCCGCGGCCGCGGGCGCCGCCGCCGCGGCGTCCGGCACCCCCGGCGCCGTCCCCACGAGCTCCTCCTGCCGCTTCGCGAGCTGCTTCCTCAGGTCCAAGAGCTCCATGACCTCCTTGCGCAGCGTGAGCCACGCGCTGCACACCGCTCGCGTGGACACCTGCGGCGGCTTCACCCCGAGCTCCTCCACCGCTTGCTCGATCCGACGCACGCCGCGCGCGCCGCCGGTGCCGACCGCCGCCGCGGCGATCTCCCCCGCGACGGCGATCACGTGCGCGCCTCTCGCGTACGCCCCCGGCGCCGGCGTCGCGTCTCCGCCCTCCGCCGTCGGCAGCGACGGGCCGCTCGCGGCGAAGTCTTTCCGCAAGTCGCTCACCGCGATGGACAGCTTCACCGCGTCCGCGCGGTGCGTGGAGAACGCGGCGCCCGCGCGAGCGCTCAGCGCCGTCGCCTCCGCGCGGCGACGCTCCTCGATCGCCTTCACCTCCTCTAAGATGGCTTGCTCCTCGCGCTCGAGCGCGTTCGTGCGCTCCATCTGGTCCCCGAGCGCGAGCTTGCGGTCGACCTCGTGCCTGGCGTTGAACGGCTCGCGGATCAGCGCGTGCGTCTTCGCCTCGTCGGGGTTATCCGCGCGCGCCTCCAGGAGTTTCCTCGCGATGGCGTAGTACCTGGACTTCATGTCCTCCACGGTTCGCGGTTTCGGCGCGCCGCCGGCGCCGTCCGTCGCCGCGTCGTCTTTGTCTTTGTCCGTCCCGGTCCCGGCGGCGTCTTTTTCTTTTTCCTTCTTCTCGTCGTCTTTCTCGCCCGCGTCCTTGGGGTCCTTTGGGTCTTTAGCGTCCTTGCTGCCGTCCTTCTCTTTCTCCTCCTCGTCCTTTTCGCCCGCGTCGGACGCGGCTGACTTCTTCGACCCCTCCGGCGCCTTCGAAACCCCCGGGACGTAGTCCCAGCGATCGTGCACGACGATGAAACGCAGGTCGAAGCGAGCGAGGAGGTCGAGCATGTAGTCCGTCTCCTCCCTGGACCAGTCGTCCTCGGTCAAGTCCTTCAGGAGGGTGTCGTACTCCTCGTCGTTGTACATGACCATGTCGACTTTTTTGTTGTACTTTGAAAACGCGTAATCGCCCCCGACGTCGCCGCCGTTGCTGCCGGGGAGGAGCGTCCCGCCCGTGCCCGTCTTCACCCAGTGCTTCAGCATCAAGTCGTCCACTCGCGCGGAGTTTTTGAACGGCTGCCACGACCACGCGACCTTTCGCGCGGAGACCTTCCGCTTGTCTTTCAGCCCCGCGTGCGTGGGGACGACGGGCGCGAGCGCCTCTTGCTGCGATTGTCGGTCCCTGGAGATCTGCCACACCTCGCGCGACATCCCTTCGGGTTTCTTCTCCGCCGTCGTCTTCTGCTTCTTCGCGCCGCCGCCGCCGCCGGCGGCGCCCTTGATCCCCATTATGTCTTTGATGTCCATCGCGACGACGAGGTGCGTTGAAGCAAGGCGGCGCCGCGCCTCGCGCTTCTGAATTCCCGATCGCGATCGCACCCGATGAAAACCCGTCGTTGATCGATTCAAACCGAGGTTTTGAAAGTGGAAGAACGCACTGATTGAGCAGTGCTTTCGCGCGCGCCCCTACGTCGGGGAACGCCGCGGCGGAGCCCATCGAGACCGCGCGAACGCGAGGGACGATGGCGAACTCCATCCACGTCATGACGTACCTGGAGAAATACGTCGAACGTGCGTCCCGCGCGTTTCCCGCGCTTTGTTCGCTAACCCTAGAATTCGCGCCCTCGATCGCGAGCGCCCGCGATCGACTCGATTTTTTCCTCCGCCCCTCGCGCTGACGCCCCCGTCCCTCGCGTCCCCACCCCACGCGTCCACAGTCTCGTCGTCCCTCCCCGTGGAGCTCCAACGCGTCGTCGTGACGATCAAAGACCTCGACGAGCGGCTCTCCGCGTTGAAGAAGGAGACGGACGCGAAGGTGGAGAAGTGCCTCGCGATGCCCTCCGCGTCGTCGCGACAGGCGAGCGCGGGGGACATGGACGCGATCAACGCCACGCGAAGAGAGATCGAGCGCGCGCACGCCGACATCAACCAGCTCTCCACGGAGAAAGTGCGCCTCGCCGGGATCGCGATGGAGATGATCCAGTTTAACATCGCGAAGCTGGACAAGGAGCTCGCGCCGTTTTCGGAGGAGATGAAGCGGCTCGAGGGCGCCGGGTTCGAGGACGAGTTCGGCGTCGAGGGCATGGAGGGCATGGACGCGGTGACGATGGCGTTCGCCATGGGCGAGGGCGGCGGGTTCGACGACGGCGCTCCCGGGGTCCCCGCGCAGCTGCATCGGGCGCCGTCGCACAAGAAGTCGCACAAGAAGAAGATTCCCGTCAACGCGCCGCCGCAACCGGGGGAGAGAGTCGCGGCGAACATCGGGGAGGTGACCGCGGGCGAGGGCGCGCAGGAGTGGATCGTCGCCGTCGTCGTGCAGTACATCGCGGAGGAGCGCGCGTACGAGGTCATGGACGCGGACGAGGACGACCCGGAGGGGGGCGGGCACGTGTATCACCTACCCGAACATCTCGTGATTCCGATGCCGCGCAGCGCGAGCGCGAGGGACGGGCAGGTGAACCTGTCGCGGGGGACGACCGTGCTCGCGGTGTATCCGGCGACGACGACGTTCTATCGCGCGGTCGTCGTGCAGCAAGCGCAGAAGATAAACGGCGAGTTTGGGGAGTTTCTGTTGGAGTTTGAGGACGACGGCGACGCGGACGGGTTACCGCAGCGTCCGGTGCCGTTTATGCACGTCGTGCGACACCCGTCGGGGTTGTGACGTACGAAAGTACTTTCGTAGTAGTTAAAACAGTGTACTGTAGCAGCAGCAAAGAGAAACGAACAGCGAGCGAAGCGAACGACGCGTCCGTCGCGTCCGTCCGTCCGTCCGTCTGTCGTCGTGGATACCTCGTACCCGTCGCGTCGCGTCGCGTCGTCGCGTCGTCGTCGTCGTCGTCGTCGTCACTTCACGCGCCCTCCCGTGCCTCCTCCTCCATCGTCGCCTCGATCTTCGACACGTGCTCTCTCTGCCTCGCCGTCATCGCGCCGTCGACGTCCGTCGGCAGAAGAACGCGGTCGACGACGTGTATCACGCCGTTGCACGCGCGCATCGTCGTCACCGCGCCCGCTTGCGAGCCGATCCCGCGGACGACGAACGCGGCGTCGGCGTCGGCGGCGTCGTCGGCGTCGTCGGCGCCCGCGGCGGCGTCCACCATGAGCCGCCACTCGCTTCCGAGCGCGGTTCTCAGGAGGTCCCCGCGCTTCACGTCCGTCTTCAGCGAGGCGATCTCGACGTTCGGAACGACGTGGTACGCGACCAGGACGGAGACGTCCCTCGTCGCGTTCGCGTTCGCGGCGTCGGCGTCGGCGTCGGCGTCGGCGTCGGCGTCGGCGTCGGCGTCGGCGCCGCCGAGGAGGCGGTCGACGACGTCGTCGGCGTCCATCGGCTCCCCCGCCACGCCCCCCTTCGTCGCGTTGACGTACGCGAGGAGCGCGACGAACACGTCGTCGCTCGGCGCGAAGAACGTGTCGCGGAAGTGTTCGCCGTTCGCGTCGCGCAGCGGCGCGGAAGCGTTCGAAGCATTTTTGGCGTCCAACGTCGCGACCGCCTCCGGGAGCGTTCGAAGGAGGAGCGTCGTCAGGACGGACGCGTCGTCGCGCGCGCGAAGGAGCTCCCACATCGTCTCGCACCGCGTCGACGGGTCGTCGGTCTCGGTCTTCTTCGCCGAGAGCTTACGACGCCCGGCGAACCCGCGGCCGCGCGCGAACCCGAACCCGGCGCCGCCGCGTACGCCGCCGCGACCGACGAAACCGCCGCCGCCGCCGCC